TTTAGTTGCACTCCCGTATGACTTTTTCCCGCCATTTTTCTAGCAGCATCCTTTAACGTATGGATATCTCACATGCATTTCATTAATGGCACTTTAGAAAACTAATAGGGTGCAAGAGATGTAAACCCGACGGATACAGTAAGAGTACGTTAAAATACTACTTAGGTTTACTTATTGTACATACACGACTGGGCAGCCTTGCATGCAGCGAACCATTATGCTTCTTTTCCTTTGAAAAAAGGAGCTTCATACAAAATGGTGTGCCGCCACTGTGTTTGGATCAGTTATTCTTAACGAGGGGTGTGCCGTACCAGGGGGTGGAAGGTGGGTAAAAAACTGTGCCTACAGATATTGGTCGAATGCTGCTGATGGCTCATGAAGTTATGGTAGTAATTATGGTGCATGTCTGAATGATGATTGACCTTTACCAAATAATGAAAGCAGACATGGCGCTATGAAATCGCTCCGCTCACGCTGACCTTTAAATAACTCCCAAGCCGCAGCCCTCACTACACCCCTATCAGACTTTAGAAAATCAGGCACAAATATACAGTTATACACCGAGATCGGATGCGATAACCAAACCTTCTCAAACGTACTTCTTCTTCATAATACTCAACAATGAGGTTATGTTCCAGTATTGCGCAGAAGTGCAATGAGCGCGTCTCAATTTATGCACTAGTTCAGTATAGGAAAAGCGTTTGAGAAGTTATTATCGAGTCATCCACTATTTTTGAGGGGCTCCTTACCATATCCTTAATTGGTTGACCCTTACCTAAGGACTTCCTTAATTTTGCTCTTTGGCTTCCCATCGGACAATATTGTCTGTACAATAATTATGAATGTAAGTATCACAGTTATTGCTGTCTGCTGCTTCCTTTTCGCAATGTACACATACAGTACTACGGAATTCTACGAGAGCTCGTAATTCTACGGAATTATGCGAGTAAATAGTACTCGTACCATCGTATTGCATTATCCACTGTGAAAATGCTTTGGTTTTTGAAACAATGGGTGTGTGGGGTAAAGAATCGAAATGTAAGATGTCTACACTCGGTAAGATGCTTTTTGAGAGGACACAGGAGAAACGGTCCACTCAGTGTTTCTGAAGCAGAGAATCAGTGCTGCTTTAATGCGAGGTAACGCTGCTTGTGTTCGGGAAACGTTTTGTATCGGTAAGAGACTGGACGAAGTGTATTATGATTGTGATGAAATGATGAACTGCGTAATTTGCTTTTAACCTACAGTATGTTAATGTGAATGGCTGAATGGACGCCCATTAAACTGTGAAAATCTAATACAGCATGGTAAATCAAACATCAACCGTATAAAATTCTGTTTTCTTGTATGTACCACAGCGTTGGTTGATCCTTACTTGAAGCGATCAGCAACACGCACAAACAATTCAATTAAAGAAAATTACACGAGATTTCTCAAGTATTAACGGGGTTTACTTCAATACGAAGAAAGGAGAGGATGGGAAAGCAGTCACGTTTACGCCATACCCAACAATCAGATCGGCGACATTTAGGTAAGCGATGTCCACTTACAAGTTAGTACGCATGGGCTGCACCCCTGTTTTCGCTTTGGCAACCTTTGTGCTCGCATTGACAGAGGCCGGGTAGAGTTAGCCGTAAAGTTTTGCCGAGACACTTGGACTGATTGTGATTGGTCACGCACACGACCGTGGTGCACAAGGCTAACTTGGCCGAAGAACGCGGTATTTCTTAAGGTGTATGACGTGCAGTCGCCGCTGACGCGTGCGCTTACGCAGTGGACAATTGGACAACTGACAATTGTTGCGTCGGCTTAAATACTGGACCGGGACGGTGCATTACGTCAGTAACTGTAATTAACAGTATTTCGATGGGAAATCAAAGTATTCAGGTAAGTTAATGAAAACGCAATCGTGTTAAAGTATACACGTATATATTAAACTATATACGGGTATATATTAATATATTGTGCTATATTAAACAGGCTAACCCGTTGTCAACACCAGCTAAAAAAAGTCCCTGCTAATCGTAATGCAGTGCTCTTTAGTTCTTGCCTCGCTACATCATGTACACTGCAACAAAGGTATTTTATTGTAGACCGCAACGTAGGAAATAGAAATACGTATCGGCTCCGCTCACTGAAGAGAGAATAACTAATTCGCGATAACGTTAACAAGTCGAACAGCTACACAAGGTCACAAAACAGTATGCAAAAATGTGTTTGGAAGTGCTCGAAAGCGAAAGGTCACGTGCACGAATTCCTTCAGGCGTACTCGGGGCACATGTACATTAATTTAGTATCGTGTACCGGGTCAGTTTCAAACGAGACGTAACACGTACACATGCCTGCGTTCCGGCGCTGTTTAACTTACTATCAGCTATGAGCCTATGGCCAAATACAGGACATTTGGAGTTTGTTTCGGGATGAGCGGTTAAACAGGAGTAAGTTTCGATACGCTGGTGACCGCTTTAAATTGAGCGTTATACAAAATTAAATTGTTACCGTACATCGTGAGAAGACATTATATAGGGGGCAAAACTAAGCGTGTTCCACGGTTCCCCTGTATTGCTGCCGTCACCCGCCTGGAGTGTGACGTTACGGCAATACATATGGTTAAATCTGGCGCGGTACATAAGCGCCATGTTCAGCCACAACGTAAAACTCCAGCCGGGTGACGGCAGCAGTAGCCGGAAACCGTGGAACACGTTTAGTTTCGCCCCTTATATTAGGTAACTGAGGTAACATTAGAGCTACTCCTATTAAAATCGCATTATTCATCCATCCGTTATAAGCATGCAATTTTTTAAAATGCATTTTCTGTAGAAGTACGTTGCGGGTGATATCGGTGACAATTTTAAGAAGGGCAATTCAGTCAACCCCGGATTCAGGTACTGACCGTGCTGTATCCCTTACTTTTTGCGAGAGTACAGTACGAGTACTTATTCGTCGGACGTATAATATATTTCGCCTTTTTTCGCATTCCGGACATTTTGGCAATATGGTTTCGCGTACCGGACGTACCAGAGACAGGATATTCTCCCCGTTGTTCCACATGACAAAAACTCTTCATAAATTGATTACGTGATAATTAGTATTTTTATACAAGCCTGTACACGAGATTATTAAAAAACTATGAATTTTTGTAATGTGGAGCAACACGGAGTCTCTGTTGTCGGTACGCGACTCCATATTGTGAAAATGTTCGAAATGCGACAAACATATATCAAAGTATACAGAATAATCCCCTACATTTATAAAATATATTCCCAACATAATCCGGTTGTTGTTGCGGAAGACCCGGCCTGATCGGCCGACAGAGGTATAATTGGCGTAAAGTGCGCAAGTGCACATTTGACCGGCAGGTTTCTTTCCTCGCTAATACCCTTTCCCGTTCGTCCTGCTCATCCACATCAGCGCAAAGCAAGCACCCGACAGTACCTGGATCCGTTCCCCGCATTGTCGGCTTATCGCACCCTGCCCCCGAGAAACACGATACCGGCCACTGTCACCGTGCGCGCGCGCGCGACTGACGTCGGTCCGTGACGTTGATCACGTTTCCCCCGGTCCGCTTAATCTGCCTGATTAAGCGGGCTGTACTCTCCAGCGCGCATCACCTGATGTGCATTTCTCCACGCAGGATTATACATTTATACCCGCTAAAATAACTCCACGGTATGATATGCTGCTTAAACCGGCTTTACGGACCCGTTTTACCGGGACTGCTCGCTTTACCGTAATCCGTAATAGAGTGACCTTTTACGTACATGACGGGAGCAGCGGGAGAGGGTCGTGTATCGGGGAAGAGTGTCGTAAGTAGTCTGACCTTTGACGTCATGGTTTAAACGGCTTATACTTAAAAAGATTACGATTATCTAGACAATATGCCGTTGTATCGAATTTTTGGCGAATATACACGCTTACATGTAAATTAAATAAGGCATTTATTCAATGATTATTAAAATTGAATACCAGTAAATTAATATTGATTCATTAATTTTGTATCATTCAGATAATTAATTACATGCCCTTTGCTCATTCAGTAATAATAGTGAATTGAATCTACGTCATTACTTAGCTAGCGTATGTATACGTGTTCGGACAACAAATCAGCCGACAAACAATCAAACCTGATTAATTGCGTTCACCGATGCATTAGCCCAGACAAACACGTACCTGAACGCTTGATTAATTCATTACGCTCGAGTATTTATGGCGCAGCAGGCTACATAATTCCTGTTTAATGTGTCTTTCCGGAATCCACGTGTGGCGCTTTGACCTTTACACCGGCACACACCACTTTACCGGGAAATCATTAATCGCGTTCTAAGTCAGCGTAGCACATCAACGGATGCCCGACACGAATTTGAAGAATTAATATTCATTGTGAAACGGCATAAATCGGTTGATTAATCATAATCGTCGAAATGCATAAAATTAATATTGATGGCGCTTCGAGCTATAGTAAAATGTAGGACAACCGTAACCCATACGCAGTGAATGGGTGTCGTGGTAGCGACCGCCCATTGATACCAAATGTCAACAGTTACTCATTGTTTTTATTCCCAATTTAACTCATTATTATAGTCGTAGTGGTATTAAATTATTATTTTATGTTATTAATAATCGTAAAATTACAAACACAAGGCGGGGTGTCGCTATGGTGACCGCCCATTGGTGCATTTGTTTATATTATAATTATGAATTTTAATTTTTTCGCGTAGTGGTGCTGTTTCAATATTTTACGTTATATATATTAATAATCGCCAATCATACACGCGATTGGGTGTCGCTATAGCCACCGCCCATTTCGTGTCAAAATCATTTATTTTGTACCTCCAGTTTACATTGCTGATTAACAATCACAGTGGTATTTTTAATTATTTTACAACTATTTTACTTGATTAATAATCGTAAAATATAGTACGTAAATTCGTCCGGGTGTCGCCATAGCGACCGCCCATATTTAAAAAAACCATTTATTTTTATTCCCGATGTAATTAAAACAACACACGCTTCCCCATAAATTTTTTTGTTAAATGCCGTCAGTCCGATCGAAACAAAAATAGCACCGGATAGCAATTTGATTCCGTAACCGATTACACACAGAAGAGAAGAAGAAAACGAGGAAAACACAGCGACGCAGGAAAACCAACGCAAAAACACAATTACAACCGACACAACGTGTCTACTCGGGTGGCGGCTACCTTCCTCACCACCGCCAATTCCACTCGCAACATTTTTCGCACAGCGCCCAACAGCCCTTACCGACCGCCTCAGGGGGTGCTGCACCGGGTTATGCATCATCACGAAAAACACCGCGGATTAATTGCCGTCGAAAAATTAACCGAAAAAATCAAGTAAAATTATTTCATTTCCGCATGCTGCAAATTACAGGGGCAAGACAGGTCGTACAATTATTATTACAGTGTAATTAAATCCAGAAAACACACACACGACAACCGAATCGATCCGCCTGCGGACGTCGCTTCGTCAGAAACACAAAACACGCATTGTGGGGGAGACATTTTGGTAGAAGGGGATTTTTTTGTTGAATTTCGTCTTTAATAGGATTTTCTGCGGGCCAGCAACATAACGGGATTCCGCTTGGTCACATTTCGTCGCGCGACATCTTCTCCAGTCGCTTCACCACCCATTCCGGCTACAAACAGTTACACAATAATTTTAGATATTTTTTAAAATAATAAAATATAATATTCAATTTAATTTGTATTTTTTCAACATTTTTAATTTTTTAATGACTTTTTAAGTAAAAGTTTTTTAATATTTTTTAATTTATGTTTGCTACGTACGCTATTTCATTTCAAATCTTTTTTCAGAAGTCTGCATTTTTTTCCACCATATTATTGAACATATAAAAGCGTAACCATATTTATTTCATAATTTCTGATATAATTTTTAGTGAGATTTTTTACGCGAGAATTTTCTGTTGAGAATGTAAATGAAACCTACCGTGACAAACCACCATGTATTTGGTCGGAATATCGTACGGCTGATGAAGCTCATCTCGGAAGCGGGATAGAGAACGTGCAGATGCAGATGGCGGATGCCGTTGAACGGCGGCCAATGGAATCCCATCCTGCACGTCAGACACAACACAATGTCAAATTAATTTCTGACCAAAAACATCCCTGAGCAACAAAAAAATATTTACGTGTCCACAGAAATGTAAATTTTCATGTTTTCCTAACCAAACACCCATTCGCTACGCGACAATCCGTGAAACAATAATAGGATAATCATTTAAAAACCACTATTAAAATAATAAGAGAAAAAATGACCAACAAAAACCGGTTTATAACTGCCAAGAACTGGATTACATTTTACCAAAAAATACCCAGAATAATAAAAACAACAGGAAAAAAAAACGAAAAAGCGAACTATTATTACAGTATAATTACAAAAAAATTACCCAAGTTGATTATAAATAGAAGAAAAAATGGCAGATTATTAAAAAAAACGGGGAAAATTTGTCACATATTCGAATCAATGTTTATCGGTGACAAAACATGTCCTTACCGGCAATCGGGGCTGTCCAGCTGCAGGACCCCCTGCCGTCCCAGCACCTCCTTCCCGATGACCATCAAGCGTTCCACTGCAACCAATCAACCAGTGGATAACACCGTCCTTGACCTTTTCCCGTATATAGCATCTCCAGACTCTTACCGAGCTCGGCGTCATCCGCCACCAGACTGCGCGCCGAGTCCACATGCCGTTTCGGACAACTACACGCATCAAACAGGCCACTTGATCACACACCGTTACTATATTTAATACAACGTCCGTTCTGTCCCATTCTTACATGAGATAATGATGCTGTGCCGCTGGACGAATATCGCGAAATGCCACAAAGTTGGCATCCTACAGGATAACACGAGATGGAGTGTATATTATGGACAGTTTCGCGGTAAACAGGTGCAGAATGTGCGTCACACGGAAAATGAGTATTGAGGTAAGTAAAATTTTGTCACACGGTGTGTTGATCAAGTTGATCTAGTGTGGGTACGACCGTATGGAGATGCTCGTTAGCCCGGGACGAGAGATTTCGGGGAAATTGCGGCGTTGTGTTACTGTACTGCGCATCAAGCGGATATTACTCCGCAGCTTCTAATCTGGCAGATGGTGTCACCCGCGACAACACCGTTAAGCGAACCAGCGCTTCAGGAGAACAAAATATGTACAAGAAAATCAAATAAAAATTAGCTGACATAATATACTAAAAACGTATACCAAAAATCAGCTAATAAAGTAAATAAACGGATTCTCTAGAAAAATACAGTAAAAATTAATAAAATTTTACTGGGCACAAAATTTCGGATGACGTAAACTACACCGACTGCTGCAAATATCACAGCTTAAATTGGTAAGAAAATTTTCACAAAATATTGTAATAATGATTCCGATGGCAGCAACTTCCTGTAAAACGTCGGAAAAGAAACAAAACTTCTAATGTCAAAAAATTCGCAAGAAAAACAAAAAGTCTAAATACGTAAAAATTAGCAAGAAAAACAAAAATTGTAGATATATAATGATTCAAAAAAATAACAAAAATTCCAAATAAATATACATTCACGGAAGAAACAAAGAATACTAATACTGAAAAGTTCGCATAAGAAAAGCAATTTCAAAAATAAGTAAAAATTCGGAATAAGTGGCCTAACTTCTGTAATGTTTCATAAATGCGCATCGGTAAAGAATTTCCAACAAAACCGCAGGTAGAATTATGCGCAATCACCCTTCTGTTTTTTTTCGGAAGGAAAATTCCCCCCAAAATAATCCAAAAAAATACCAGAGGAATCGCCAAATCATCGGACAAGAAACTTACTTCGTAGAGGAGCTCGGTGCGGGGATCCTCCCGCTGGCAGATGGCACAGAAGGTGCAGGGCGCCGTCTTGGCTTTCGGCATGGACGCTGCCGCTCCCGACACGCTGTGTCGTCCGCCCACCGCCCGCAGCAGCAGTCCCACTGACCTCCCGCCCGGTACACCAACCAGCATGGATACCGCAACCGCTCCGCTGTTGCTTTCACGGGATCGGTCGTAAATCGGGAGAGATTACAGGACGGACGGATGCCGCATCGGTGCAAGCGAGACACCTGCGAAAGCACCCCACTTAGCTGATTACGGACTATTATACAGCGGCGCGGCGGTATCAACACATTAACCGGCCGTTTGGCACTTTCTGTAGCAGTGTGTGTGTGTGCGTAATCGGTGGATGTAATGAGAGTGTTGACTCGATTATACACATAGTGGAGGAAATTATTAGCGGTGTGCCGATGGTTCCTGCACCGTGATTATCGGTCCGCCCGCTAATCATCCAGCGATAACATAATTAAAGATAATACGCAGGAAAACAGTGGTCAAAGTACGCAGCGGGTATAAGGCGCGTTGTTGTGTCCGCAAATCAAAATATTTAACCATCTTCGCCAGCACAATAATATGTGACTAATCGAGAGAAATATACATGTATCAACGTACCGTAATAATTCGAAACATTTATCAATTAACTAACTCACTGCTATCAGCAAAAGCCAAAAGCAAAATTCCACCAATTTAAGGATGAATAACTGAACAAATTTTAGCGCAAAAATAACATATTGTGCTTCTAACGCTGAATTTTCAGTCGATTTTTTAAAAATATTTGTAAGCGAAATTAAATCAGCATTTCTCATTACCGGTCATTTTCTCCGTCGATATTTTTCGAATTTCAATTTTCTTGTAAGCGAAATCAACTCAGCCAATTAAGCAAAAAATTTTTGTTACCGCTAATTTTCTAGTCCATTTTGTAAAAATTTCTGTAAGCGAGAATTTGGCTACGATTTACGGAAACTGCAAAATGCGTAAACTAAGCAATAATCCAGTGAATAATACGTAATAATAGGGTACACTGCTGATACACCTAGGTATATCGGTAATTTTTAAAAAATTGATAATTATTATTTTTAATTTTTTTTAGCGCCTTCGCACACGAAAATGATTTTACCATAAAATTAATGTTTTTCCCAATTTTAGAACCACTGCCATGCTATTTGAAAAAGCGTTTGTGAGACAGTGGAATAACTACCCAAGCATCCTTACCTGTCTGGATGGCAAGGAGAAATTGCGGACACACAATCGGCTTTGGCGGCAAGCACGGGGGAAGAGGAGAAGGAAGAGTGGGGGCAGAAATCAGGAGACGGTGCGTGTGGCAGGCGCAGCACGATGACAGCGCCAGCAACACGGGATGGGACTAACCACAGCCATTACGCAATCACACTAATTGCCATCTTCCGCATCCCACACCGCGGCTCTCTCTCCCCGCTCTCGACCACACCAAATCGTCCAATTTAACCCAGCACCACCTCAATCAGCATTAATCACGGCAACGGGGTCGTGGACGAAAACACCAAAGATTCGTTGAGAACAGAAAAACCAACAAGGAAGCAATGAGTCAAACTTGAAACTACGGTAAAAACACGTTCCAACATGAAAAAGACGACCACACGGTACATGCAGATTGCAGGTGGATCAGGCGGGGATTACAGCACAAGTCAGACTAAAAAACCTCCCCACCAAAGAGGCAAAGACCTCGTCCCCGAAATCGGACCAAATAGACGCATTCTGTACAGTTTTCTAATTCCAGCCACATCCCTTGGGCATGCGAACGATTCTCTCTTATACACTCCACTCTCTCTCTCTCTCTCTCTGTCTCTGTGTCTCTGGCTCTGTCTCTCTCTCTCTCTCTCTATTATTACGTAAACGGGCCAGGATGCCACTGCACTCCAGGCACAAGCAACAGCCGGCCCCGCCTACTTGTGCCGTTTTACTGAATGAAGTGACGTCAATGGGACGGCGCGGATTGGCTGGTGGCGGTTGATCAGGGGCGGGCGTTTATGTAACCGATTCCAATATGAACCGAGAGAGAGAGAAAGAGAGAACGTACTGTGCTGTAGTGAATCAGCTGGTCAGCACACAAAGCAGGCGTCTGCGTCATTGCAGCACGAGAAAAAAACGCCAGTGGAATTTAGAAACCTTGTTACGGTTTGGGAATTTCCTTCCTGTTCTTTCAAACGGCATTTTGTCGTCACCCTTTAACTTTACAGTTATTTATCTGGTGAGTATTTAATTTGTATTACTGACCGACGCTCTTGCCTGCACAAAAGCACGAAAAAATTCGATAATTTTAATTACTACATCAGAATAAATCGTTACTGTGTTGAGTAATATTTATTCGGTAATAAAATTGTTGCTGCAAAAATTAGATTAGATAAAGCATATTTAAAATGGACAAACAAAAATCGTTGCCGGCAAACCGGTCGAAATTAAGCAAAACGAACCGATGACAAAATGCCAGCAGAAATTCAGAATTAGCGTAAAACTAAAAACCCAAAAAATCGACTCAATCGATACGAGTATAGTAGTTATTTGCGTAATTTTTTTCAGAATGTAAGCGAGATGCAAATCATTACATAACAATTTATAAAAACGGCCTGGTAGTTGGACTATTTTTTATTGTAAGTGCCAGTGCCGGAAAGGGAAGCGATTTTTGGAAAAAAATCCTTCCCATACGAGTAGCAGAAAAATTTGTACGCGTAAGACTGGTAAAACAACAGCGCAGTATTGCTATACGGCGATTTACGGATTACGCTGGCCGCCATACAACGGCGGGAGCTGAATGAAGACAGATTAGGTTAGTCATCAATGAAATGATTATGGATGAATGGGACAGATTCATTTAGCCGACATGCCGTAGATACAGTCCCATCGTCCTGTATATTTTCCCGTGTACATGCGATGCGATGCTGGAATGTAGACGCAAACGCCATGCATGCCATCCCAGCCAGCGCCGTGCAGTACTACAGTAGCGTGACGAGCTTAACAATTTGGGGTAAGCCATTTCCTTAAGCTGTATGCTGTGCTTTACATTGTTGGGTAACCGACCCTAATTATTTAGCACGTTGCGCTACTAACGGATAAATTTTTGGTTCCGCGTGGAGAAGAGGGAGTTGTTGTCTGCAGTCAAACGCTGGCTGTGTGTGTATCCCTAGCGGCAGATTGCATGTTGGCCCGGGCTGTATCTGGGTTAACGCTCAACAATTGTCAAGCCAGGACGTTGACGCGATCGATGCCGCTACGGTATCATAGGCATGTCCGACACACCCCAAAATATCATCCACTGACGTCCGCTGTGCAGCGCTCCTCTTTCGCTTTTTTTACGTGCAGTGATCGCGCTCACATGAATGTGCAGAAAAGGCTGTATCTAAATTCCGTTTGTTTTAACTCGTACCTGAGCTTCCGTAGTACTCTGTTACAGTGTAACTTCAAAAACAAGAATAAAAATTACTCCGTTTCCGGTCAATGTAAAATGAGAGTTCCGGTGCGCTACCGCCTCTGGTAGGCGAATATTTGCAAAATCGGCGAAATTACCACTTCCGGTACAGTCGACCGCCTCCGGCTGACGTTTACGTATTACGTTTCAAATTCGATTTCCTGACGCTCGGTACACCGCCCGTTGGATACGCTCACGTTAACTGGCAGCGTTACGTCTTGGCACGCAGCTTGGTACAGCTCGCGTGTTACATAACAGAACCAGCGATGCGTACACTGCACCAGCCCGGTTGCGCAGTTTCCTGGTACACGCTCATGTGACGCTGTCCGCGCTACACTGCGCCAGCGTATCACGTGCTCCGCGCATGATTTTGCATTTCGCATCGATCACCTGGTCCGCTCGCGATGCAAGCACGAGATATGGAGGAAAATATGGAAAATATTTACATCATCATGCACGCTATGTTTGGACGATCATGATCAGTTTTTTTCTTCCCCAATTTTCTCTCATTACTTATCATTTCTCCAGATTCGTGGTTGAAACACGCAGAGATTTCTGTGATATTGCGTTCCCCGTGAAACGCGTTTGTGCATGAATCTTACTGTGGATGAATCGATCTCCTCGGATGATCTCATCTGCTCCGCGTTTAGTAGGTCAAGTACGGTTAGTTTTTTGCGCGCGCGGAAGAAGGATCCTGCTAGTCGAGGATGAACGCGCGACGCCACGTGATTGATCTGACGTGTGATGCCCGTCAGGTGGAGGACAGTGTGTCGGCGCTCTTCCACACCATCCTCTTCCATCGCTGTTTGGGGAAGTTCACGTTCCGCGAGGACGCCAACGGGCATCAGACCATCGTCATCGGGACGGTGGGCTACGACGATGTGGACTGCAGCGCCGTCGATCTGACGTGAGTGTGGTTCGTCGTGTTGTTGCGGGGTTTTCCGTAGGTTCTTGGGATTGTTGCCAAGACGGTGGTCACGGTATCGTTAGGTTGCCTGAGGGCTTTTAGAATTTTTTGAAATTATTTTATCTATTTCTCGTGATTTTTCTACGCATTTTACATCTGATCAGATCACAAATTTCCCTAGTTTTTTAGATTTGTTTCCTCTTGCACGGTACCATGGTGCACTGATATTACTGAACCGTGTACTCTACTCGTAAGACTTCGTATTTTTTTGTGGATGTAGATTGTAGGCAACTAACTAGGCATAATTTTCAATTTTCCTCTAATTTATTTTCCGTTTTAATAATTTAATTTTTTTGACCCATGAATTTCTGTAATTTTTAAAATTTGTTTCTTCTTGCAAGTTTCTTTGATATACGGTTTTCGTATTATGACATTTTCAAATTTTATGTCAATAAAATGTTTTAAGTGCTTCTTTGATTCAGTCAGAGGTGGAGTCTGTCTTTTGTCTCCGTAAAATTGATTTTCATGCAGCCATCGGATTTTGTTTGCTAAAGCAAAGCGTTTATTTAGGACGAATTACACAGTATATAATAATATGTAGTTTAAATTATCAGCATATAATACAGTAAATGGGATGTTGCTGCAGCTGAAGCCGTATTCTGATAAATTTTACTTATTAAAATAAAATAAGATTCATTTTTTTAAATAGATTTTATTCTAAAATTCCATGAGATTTTCTTTCAGCGATTTGCGTATTTTTACTCTCTGCGCATAGACTCATTTGAAACAGGTTTCTTTGTATAAAAATTCAAATATCGGTGTTGTCGGTTGCAGATACGTGCGGTGTTCCTCGCCGGACCTGACGCAGGCCGTGTCGCGGGAAGTGGTGCCGTTCGCGCGCGACCTGCAGAATGAGCCGGGCGTGTCCAGTGCGGCCATCTCCCTGGAGTTCTTCGAGAAGCGCCCGCGGGCCGGCCTGGCCGTCATGGGGCACGACAAGCTGCCCTGGGAGATCTGGGTGCTCAAATTCCAGCTGGCCAACTCCCCCACCGAGTCCGAGCGGCGCCGCTACCGCTACGAGCTGGCGCCCGTGCTCGCCGACAAGATGCTCATGTAAGATGCCGCTCTAGCATTGTTTTCAAAATAATATTGCGGGAAATTCGTCAACGTGAAAGCCTGTGCTGTGCTCATGGATTTATACATAAATACTGGCGAAATTACTCGTATTACTGGCTTAATATCTCCCCGTATTTTTTAAATCCGTGTGCTGGATCAAGACCAGATAAATTGATACTGAAATAAAACTATACTTTTATTTTTTTGAAATAAATTGACTGGCAGATTCGGTTTAGTTTTTTTTATTTATTTTAAATTTGTTTAATTAGGTAAACAGTTACGGTATGTTGTAACCGTTTTTCTGTATCTTATGTTATTTTAGCTGTTTCCCGAACCCGTGTTTTAAATTCCCGAAAAAATCTCGCGAATTGATTTATGAAATTTCTAACTTTTTTGGAAGATTTCTAGCATTCCTGGGCCACGAGAATTATTGTTTGAAATTTATTGTAATTCTATATCAAGAAAATCGGATGAAATTCGAAAAAAGCTCGTCGTTTTTTGGTAATAAATCAGCGCTTACTCGCCCGCAGTGAAACAATTATGTTTTTTTTTCGCGCAGGGTGGTGGAGTGTATGAACCGCTACGAGTACGTGCCGAAGAATCCGCAGCGCGAGGAACTCGGTCTGGTCTTCGACACGAACTACAGCGACGTGCAGCCCTACCTGTTCCAGGTGAAGCGCAACGCCGTCGACCTCAAGCCGTCGCAGTCGGTGTCGAAGAGTATGGGCCGCTTCCTGCGCGACGCCCTGGAGATATAGCCGCGACGGAATCTCCTCAACGAGCTGGCTTGTTTTTTGATAATCCGTGATAAGTATTTTGTTCTCCCGTTTGTGGACCTGAAATACGCCTTGCATGGACCCGCGCGCCTCGCCTTCATCGATTTCTGGCCATTTTGGCATTCTGTACATCGCCATTGTGTTTTCTGCCCTTCGCTCATTCTTGGTCTTCGCATAATTCTTGTGCCGTTTTTTTCTGCACCCTCTTTTTGTGGTGAATATGTGCTAAAAGTCTAATTAATAATAATCTTAGCTGGTGTGCTGTAGTTGAATTGTCAGAATAAAAAAACGATATTCGGACCTAATTGTACCGTAAACTTATCTGCCAGTGTGCCGGTCCAACAACAAACCTGAAACGTTTAAAATTATTGTTATTGATAATTCTTTATCTAAACTTATTCGAGTAAAATTGTATTTTTCCAAACTGTGGTGTCGGAATCGGAATATCGGATTGATTCGCCATCACAACCGGCGCTATAAATCTCTAAGCATTCGTCTACGACCATACCACGTAGAAAACTCCCGATCCCGTTCGATCTCGGAAGATAACCTACGTCGGGCCCGGTTAGTACTTGGATGGGTGACCGCTTGGGAACACCGGGTGTTGTAGACTTTTTGCCTTTTAACTAGACGGCTTTTTGGTCTGTTAGCTAACTATACTTATTTTATTTAAATTTTGTTAATTATTCACACAAATTTATTTAATTGAAATGGGTTTTTATTAATTGTGCCGGGTTGATTCGCCATCACAACCGGCGCTATAAATCTCTAAGCATTCGTCTACGACCATACCACGTAGAAAACTCCCGATCCCGTTCGATCTCGGAAGATAACCTACGTCGGGCCCGGTTAGTACTTGGATGGGTGACCGCTTGGGAACACCGGGTGTTGTAGACTTTTTGCCTTTTAAATAAGCGGCTTTTTGGCTGTGAATGTGTCTAAGTGGTTGCAGTATTTCAAAATCTTATTCTGTTATAAATTAATCGTTATTCATGTAAACTTGTAATGGTTTAATCTCATTGGCGCTTTTCATCATGATGTTTTCATAATTTCCTGCCTTGCTGTCCTGTCACTCTCCATCCGTTTTGGTACTTACAACTTAGTTCGTACTTGTACTGCAATAATGCCTGTAAATTTTGCCCTGTAAATTTTACGAAGTTTCTATCGAGTGTCGACAGATATGCTTATTCAAACAAATCGTCGGAACTCGGAAAGAATGTGAAAAATCGTCTTCAAATTGGGAAAAATTAATATGCTGCCCAATTGCTCCTTTCAGAGGAAATGAAAAGCTTGGCATAAAATTCTAAATCGATCTTTTTATCTACCAAGGAATAACTAATACTTTGTGTATGATTGGGATTATCGGGAGAATGCGTAAAAGGGCATACAAAAAAACTCATGACAGTGTGTGCTAAATTTACTTAATAAAAAACCCACAAAGCTGGTGTAATGAGACAACGTTTTATTCGTCCAGCGCCGACATGAATGAAATAACATCCAAGAATCTGTACACAAGAACCCCGCGAGCGTTCACGCGCCGCCACCCGGCCCCCGCACCCAAATGATCCGAACAGCGGTCTTTCCCTCTCTCTGACACGGAACAAAGAAAGAACCCAAACAAAACACAATGAAAACCAGATTTCTTCCTCGGACAACCGAGGTGGCCGGCGGTGAACACGGACAAAAAAAAGATGAGAAAGAGAGAGCGACGCAACCAACCAAAAATCGACGACGATGCCAAATTTCTCCGCCTCCTCCTCTTCCTCGCACACGGAATGTTAATCAGACCCAATTTATTCTGCCAAAATTTCTGATGGATTTAGACAGATATCTCACGAAATAAGAACGCAATAAATTCCGCAACAAAAATCCCCGAAATTCCGCAATTATAACTTTCTCCGGATAAATCCGCAAAAATCGACACAATAATTTTTCCCGCAAACTTCGACACGATAATAATTTTCCCCCGATAAATCCCACACAATTCAACGCAATCATGATTTCTTCCCCGAATAAATCCGCAAAATTCAATTTTTTCCCGAATAAATCCGCAAAATTCAATTTTTTCCACGAATAAATCCGCCAATAATTTTTTCGAATAAATCCGCGGGAAATTCAGACGTATCCGTTGGTGGCGTCATAGTAGCCGCCCTGGGCGTGCCCGTACTGCGCATGCTGATGCTGCTGGTGGATGACGGAGGGATCGTTGCTGACGACGTATTCCCCCGTGGAGGTCGTCGTGGTGACCATATACCCGGCCGGGTCCTCGTAGAAGCGGTGCGGGACGTTGACGTTGGTGAGGAAGGTGAAGGTGTTGACCGGGTGGTTGTTGTGGTTGAGGATGGGCGCTGAGTGTGAGTGGTGGTAGGGACCGCCGGCGCTGCTGGTCGACACGGTCAGGCCGCTGCTGCCGTGCGATTTGGCCGCGGCCTCGGCTTCCGCTTGGCGCTCTTCGTGGACGGCCGACAGGGCTTGCAGAATGCCTGCGTTAACACCATCAAACAACTGTATATTTTTATTTTTGTTACGGCCTTCACAAAAATAAACAGCTAATTAAAACGCAGAAAAATATCACCAAATTTACCAATACTAACAAGGAAATCAACTCCCAAAATCATATTATGTACCGGAGTTCGTTCATTTTGATTTATTTTTTAAAAAACTTCAGTTTTTTCATGCATTTATTATCAAGAATTTTATGTTTTCAGATACCGAAGGACAAGGCAGAAAGCGATATTAACTTTTAAAAAGGAAAGACAATTTTGCGCGAAAAAAAACACAGCAAAACCCGCCCAAATACCCAATTTAATAACTGATAATTGTTATATTATTTTTGGAGTTATCCATGTATAAATATTCAGCATTATTATTTCTCCAAAAAAAAACCAGCAAGTAAAACATTCAAAAGAACAAGATGACTGAGAAAAAATTGCAGTACTATACAATTATGAACCCCATTCTAATGTGCAAAAAAAAAAGGAAAATCACAGAAAAGAAATGAAAACGACAAACTCTACCTGAAAATCACAAATAATGAAGAAAATTGTTACCCGCTACACAAAATAAAAACAAAAAGAAATATTAGTACATCCTCAGTAATTTAACTAATTCAATCAAAACTGGTGGTAACCGAGCTTAATTAAATTCTTTTTAAATGTGAAATTCCCGGTAAAAAGGGAAAAACACGGCGGCGACTGACCTGTGACCGGACTAGCGGTGGCCGCGCCCGGCTTCCCAATATTCTCCTTAATCACCACGTTCTCCAGATGGTGCACCCGATCCCCAAAATTCCCCGTCAACCCGAACAACCGCCCACTAAACTCATCCAGCTTCCCATGGAACACCTCGTCCTTCAAGCGAAAAAACAGCGCCCCCGTCAGCGCGCTATCACTCCCCGCCTGGTGCTGGGCGCCCACCCGCGCCAACTGGAACTGATTGGCCAGATCCTGCAGGCCGCCCTTCAGACTGCGCTGATCACGGATCATGTGCTTGATGTCGTAGATATGCGGGAAGTACATCTTCAGCTTCTCCAGGAAGGAGGATTCGTTGCGCGGCAGACAGTCCGTGCCTTCCAGGACCTTGAGGAGATAGCCAAAGTCGTAGGCGCTGTGGAATGTTAGGAAGCGCACGTGGTCGTTGCACAGGATGTTGGAGGTGATCAGGCGCTCAGCGAAATGGTCCGGCTCGATGCCCATTTGTTCGTGGAGGGAGAACTGGATGCCCGAGTGCATTAGCAGTTTAATCGAGTCCTGTTTGAATCGTACAACAAAATCAGGATATTTTCCCACGTTCTACCATCAAGAAAAATTTACAAAGAAAATTCGACCATTATTTTCCTCTTTGTATTTAAATATTTATTTATTATTATTTAATAACATAATTGTTTTCGCAATTGTTGCATTCAATTAGAATTTTACAATTAACTCAAATACCGTCAAGCTTGCGCAACATTCCCTGAAAACGGAAAATATAAACTCAGCACAGGAAAAAGTTTCCGGTTGCCTGTTTGTATTTCCATTAATTATTAATTATTTATCGCTAAAAGACTGCAATCCACGTCATCTTTGCTAACTGGGAATTTTCAGTGATTTTTAATCCCAAAACCGAAAAAGTAATTGTAATAATTTTTCGGGACCGGAATTTTAGGTTTCTTGGTTGAAAATCATTGATATTCTAATTTATTCATGGAAAAACTCGCCGCAGCAATAATAACTCTGATAAATCAATAAAGAAGATCAAAACTGGATTTTCCCCAAAAAAAAACAAAATAATTTTATTTTCCAAAAAATAAACATAATTTTATTATTATGATTCTGTTAACAGATTTTTTTTGAGGGATTATTTTACCTGGGCATACATCTCCTCGGCGAGATTGAAGCGGAAATTAAACTGCCACGTGTGGATGGGCGTGGGCTGCTGGCCAGCCTCGTTGAAGAAGCTGAGGCCCAGCTGGATGATCTTCATGAGGTCGACGTTGACCTTGAACAGGGCGTACTCGTAGTCCGAGTTGGTGTTGAAGACGCCGCAGGGCCGCGCCACCACCCCCGGGAACTCCGTGTCGATGGCCACGTAGGGATACTTCTTCATCAGTTTGTTGATCTTGCGCATCTCTTCCTCCAGATTATACGAGAACACTTCCTTGATCCCGTAGCTCTCCGTCGAGCTCCCGCTGGCCGCCACCGCCGGCGGCTGACGCGTTACCCGGGTGGCCGTGCGCGCTGCCCTGATTCGACGCGGCATTCTGCAGTCAAATAAATCGTGATAAAACAAACTAGAATTTTTATAATACAAATTAATTGAAAACCGGACGCGCTGTTCTAAATTAAACTGAACTGCGATGAAGTTTATAAAACTTTTTAAATAAAATTGGACGCAACGTTGTAACTTGTAAGTCAAACGGAATTTCGATCACATGATTATAATTTTATAAATAAAATTTAAATCAAAGTTATCACACTGAATGCGGCGTCCTACGCTAGAACAACAAACAAAAAATTGAATCACCGCGTATTCCTTGGGTGGCGCAGAATGCAAGCGAAAATCGTAAAATATAAAAAGAAAACAAATAATCACGTAAATTTGGAAAGAAAATTCCAGAAACCAGTATGCATACTATTGCGTAGCATTCCGCAAAAGGATTGGCCTACAAAATTTATGTAAAAAAACTGAAGTATTAAAAATTCAAAAACTGCAATCTGAAAAGCGAGCAACCGCAACCACAAAACACCAAAATTATTCAAAAACAGAATACCATCAGCGAATAAATAAGTACAAAGCACATGGGCAAAAAGAAAAAACCTTGCAGAAAAGAATATTTAAATTAAGAAAATAACGCTTAAAATAATAAAATGCAATAAAATATCGCCGACGCGGCCCCATGACGTACCTGTCCGTAGCCCATGGCATCGGGCGACTGGGCGCTCTGCATGGCCAGCCGCGCATGCGGCAGCCCGACAACATGCTTATTCCCCGGCTGATTCGTGCCGTTCTGCTGCAGATGCAGCGCCAGCGGACTGGCCAGGCCGTTGTGCCCGGCGGCGACATGGGCGAGATGCTGCTGGCTGACCACGGCGGAGGCGGTGGAGGAGGCGCTGGAGGAGAGGGAGGACGACATGGAGGCGACGGCGGCGCTGGCCAGATTCAGCGGGACATGGACAGCCGCCTGGGCAGCGGCGGAGGCGGAGGAGGACAGGGCCGACGAGATGAAGACGGGCGAGATACACGGTACCGAGACGGGGGGCAATCGCATCCTAAATCAGCGCCCCCGGATCCGCCCCGACACACGGATCAAGCGCGGTGGCCGGCGGGCGGTGTAGGCGGATCAGAGGGGACCGTGGCACAGAAGCGCGATAGGACTACGAAAAATCTGCAAAAGAAATTCCAGAAATTCAGCAAACAATTCCGGAAAGCGTTGTTTTTATTTTCCAACACGCAGTATTATCAGAAATTTTACGGCCAATGCGGACGATGCGAATCGGACAAACGGGATTGCTTTCACAAGGTCTCGATAGTACTCAGAAAATCTACAAAATTAAAATTTAAGAATTCAGCGAGAATTACGGAAAGGGACATTTTTATTTTCCAACCAGCAGCAATCTAGTGATTGGTTTCAAAAATTAAAATGCCGATGCGGACGATGCTGATCGGACAAGAACGATTGCTTGCACAAGGTCTCGATGGTACCAAGAAAATCTGCAACAATATTCGGCACTCTTCAGAGAAAAATTTCCTATTAAATTCAGCGATAATTACGCCAACAAATGTGTATATTTTCCAATTTCCAATATACAGTAATAATACTGATAAATTTTTAATACAGGACGGCTGCACGAAGTATCGATAGTGCGGATAGCCGAAAGAAATTTGCAAAAACATATTCCCCTTCGCCGAAAGTTTCCCTAATAAATTTAGCGATAATTACCGGAACAAACAAAAATCAGCAAAAAATGTATAGGTATTCCGGTTCACCGAAAAATCCCTAATTAATTCAGCGATAACTACCGATTTCCTTTCACAGGAAATTTACGGAAACGGGATAAAATTCAAACCCACAGTGAATATAAATTTTATAAACAGAATTAATCCCGCCAGCATCACCTATACTTACAATCAGGTACACATTCGTCCCGTGATCGGTTTCACGTCAACGTAATTATAATCAAAACGGTAGTACTAGTACAGATTTACGTGTTGTTTACCAGTTTATCTGATTGAAGTGCTAATTATTGTAATGGTCTGTCGGCGACGGCGCACGCAAGACGATCCACATCTTGCAACACACACATCATCCATTTTTTACCAACATGCACACCATGACGTGGCTCCCTTTCTTACACTCTTTACCGCGTTTCCGGTCAAATGACACATCAAAAGATGACGAATAACTGCGAGTGTGTGTCGGATAAAAATATGTTTTACTGCGCCAATTTCAATGTTAATCTGCCAGATCAACTGGTGCCAATTACTTCAACAGCCAATTTTTTTAACACTGAAAACCACTTAAAAAAATTTATTTCAATTTTTTTCACTGCAGAAAAATCAATTTAAAAGCGGCAACGAATTGAAACAAATAAAATCAAAATAAATTCAAAATATGTAAGATCAATAAATAAAATTAAAATAAATTCAGCAAATAACGAGATAAAAAATAAATTCAAAAATATGTAAAATCAACAAATAAAATCGAAATAAAATAAAAATAAATTCAGAAAATAACGAGCTAAAAAATAAATTCAAAAATATGTAAAGTCAACAAAAAAATCAAAACAAATATGAGCTTGCGTCACCATAGTAGGAAAATCGAAATAAATTCATTCCGATTAAAAAAGTCAGCCAGCGTCACCATAGTACGCAAATCGGAGTAAAATCCAGTAAAATAATGAGCCAATTACAAGCCACCGATTATATGCCAAATACCGCTTTCACTGGCAATAATTCATAACATTAGCAGCACAAAATGCGTTGCAACGTTCGTTTGCGCCGGAGAGAGAGAAACAACGATCACGCGTGAGTGTGTTTTCTCTCTCCGGCTCCCTCGGCGCGCGCTGTACATTAATTTCCAGCCGCCGTATCTTTTTCTCCGTTGAACATGCGTAATGCAGAATTACAGGGCCCGGGTAGCGGCGATAATTAACCAAGATTGATGTGGTGCGCGTAAACAGCCAGCTACAATTAAACCGCACGCACGAACAGACCCATTGCACAACCCCCGCGCAACGCAACACAACAAGCAGCACGGCAATTTTCTCCGCTGAGGAATTAATCAGCGCTTTATTGGACTGTTCCCTGTTGCAACCAGCCGATGCGTACCGGCACTTACGCGGAAATTACCGCAAAAACCACAAACAAAAATTCATATTTTAATTTTAATTTTTCTGCTGCTTACTACACGTGTATTTAAACGAAATAAATATTTTGAAATTAAACGAAGCGTATGTTTCAACGAAATAAAATACATATTTTGATAAAATATACAAGTATGCATGTAAACGAAATACATATTTTTTTACTAATTATTGGTTATAATTTTTCACAAAAATCATTTTTTCCAGCTCATGTAAACAATCTTCGCGCGCAAAACACCAGCATTTTTTTCTCCGCCGGCAAATTAATCAGCGCTGTATTGGCCAGTTCCCTGTTGCAGTGGGCCGACACGTACCAGCACTTACACGGACACAACCGCAAAAACCACAAATAAAAATGCAGATTTTATTTTTTTCGTAGCGTCTAGTGAAACGAATAATTTATTTGAATTTTTATTGGTTAAAACTTTTGTGGAACTATTTATTTTCCAGTTGATTGGTAATCGGCAGCGAGTGTTTAAGTCGGTTGAGCGACAATTCCTGTTGATCAGGCCGCGCGTCAACCACAGCGGCGCGGAGGAGGGGGAGAGCGTGAAAAGAAATATAACAGAAAAAGACAATTCAACAGTCAATAAACAACGGCACGTAAAGCAGCATGTCCAGCTTGTTTTCAAGGCCGAACACGGCGCTGCTGCTGTTTTCTTTCCTGACGGCTGCAGGCCACGGCGCAGCGCGGGATTAGGATCACTTTCACGCATGAACAAAAGCCCCCACCGTAACTGCCTAATCATGGCACCGTGCTCCGCCAGAAAATCCAGTAGTTTTCAAAAACATTTTATCTTAATTATAAACAAAATTCTTAAACATTTCTATTCGCAAACAGCAACCAAAAAATCACAAAAAAACGCAGCGTGAAATTATTAATTAATTTTGATTTCTTTAATTGTTGGTTATTTATCAGCGCTGCGTTACAGCGACGCGATTTCAAGCTAAAAATTAGAAAACCGGAAACTCTGCAATTGTAATTAATCTTTTTATTCAATGAAAATTTAACACCGCTCTAAAAGCGAACAAGCAATGAATGCGCGCCAGTTGCGACTGATCAGCGATTAATCCACGATAATTATTAGTGTTCCACTTTCCTACCCTTGACTTTGCACGTCTCACCTAAAATCCTCAATTACTCACTCCTTTATTGAGAAATCAAATGTTTTATAAAAATCACGGTCTAAGCTCGCACCAATTAAAGGAGAAGTTTCTCCGTTCGTTCCTCCAGAAATTCCTTCTTAAAATCAAAAAAATCTGGATACAAAATAAGGCTTTTAATGCGGAAGCCAGAGTACCCAGTACCAAATTCAGAAACCGTCTCGAGAAATCATTTCTATAAAAATCACGTTCCCTGCCAGCACAGCTAAAAGGAGAAGGTCTCCAGGGTTTTATAATAAAATTAGAAAAATCCCGAAAAAACTAGCCGTTAAATTGTTGATTTTGGTAAAGTCCAAATTATGAATACAGAGAACCAAAATCTGAAATCAGGAACCTTATCGAAAAATCAAATTTTTAATAAAAATCACGATTTAAACCCAGCACAGTCAAAATGGAGAAAGTCTCCAGTAATTTTATTTTTACAAAAATAAAATTTAACTCCAGTAATTAATAATTTATTATTAAAAAATCCTGACATTTTTTTAGTAATTTAATTTTTTGGATTATGGAGTACCCTAATTAGCAAATGCCCTCTGTTTCTCCGTAAGAATATTAAATTGTAAAATCTACTGATTTTGAAAACAAACTGTCCGCTGGTACGCGGGCCAGGACGCGGCCTGCCAACCAGAACCCAGCGAAAATGTCTCAATTTCCTCGTTGAAAGCTGAAACGGCCAGCGACCTCACCGCCAACGCTTGACACACATTCCGCCATAAACGCACTACAACTCCCCGTTTACGGGCCCTATCCCCCACCTTACCTGCAGGAAAAATGACAGGGAGATCCCGATACAACACCAGAACAAGAAGAGGAAGAATCAGACGGTGGTCTTCCACGACACGGACTCGTTGGAATGTCTCAATGTCAACCGACATCCAAGAAGACCATCATTGTGCCACATTCATGTCGTAACACGCAGCAACACATTAGCGGCGCGAGGATGATAACACACGGATTACAAGGATGGAGACGTAAGGATTCGTTTCAGGAAATAGATAAAGCAGAGATGGCATCAGAGGGTTTCAGCTACAAGAAAAACTGGCGAGGAGATCTTCCTTTTGACGGATATTTTATTGAACGACGTGAACTGTGCTCGCTCTGTCTGTTTCTCTCTCTCTCTCTCGGTTTGGCCTGCTGATCAGTGTTCTCTGTACTCACGAGTCGGGGTGATCTTGTGCTGGTGAGGCGTCTGTGTCAAATGTGCGCGGTGCGGCGGAAATGCGGTGCACATTGCACAGCGGAAGTGCGGTGGTTAGCCAGGCTGCCGCTTGCCAGGGGCGGGCGAACTGGAGACTTGAAGATTCGCCCAGTATTAATACGGTAAAAACTGCTGCATTTATTTTTTAAAATTATTAGTCTTTTAGATTTTGCAAGATATGGCAAATCGTTGCATGTCAGAAATATATTTTCGTATCAAACAAGTGTCCACGAGTTTTTTTAAACTGTTTTACTAATACACAGATAATGGCAACATTCTGTATCGGTAAATTACTATATTCGCTTTAAAATTTATGCCCGTATAGAAAATTATAGATAAATAATTATGCAATAAGTTTTTCAGTTATCGATTTTATCCTTGATGAGGTTGGTGACCATTAGCGACGTATCATCATCTGCAAAAAATTGTAAAATTTAAAGATTTAATTTTGTTTTACTTTGAGATATTAGCCGATTTTATACCTCTTTTGCGATTAAGTGTCGCCACGCGGCTGTCGATTATCATGATGGGAACGGGAATCCGCATTGTTGTATTCGCCGCCGGCGTCGACGACGTAGCAGCTTTTTTGGAAGTGGACACAGGTGCAATGGTAGTCGTTATTAACTGCCGTTTGGGATAAGTTTGATTACGGAATGTGAAGTTGACCGCTGAAACGTTGCGCGGTCGCTGGACAGTGCCACGCCCATGAACACCGGCAATCTGCTCCCCAACGGTCCCATTCCAGACTCCATGACCATGGGCTTGTTCCAACTAAAAGCGATCAATTAAGTACTGTAATTTTGTTTTACTCATATAGAAAATTCGGTATTATCAAATTTATTAGTTTAATGATTTTTTGATAATAAATTACCGTATAATTACTTATTATGGCATATACTGTGCGTTAGTAATTTTTAAATAACTACATAACTAAAAAAACTATCTGGAGTTTAAAAATCAAGACAAAAAACAATCAGAACATAATAAAATAAAATGACGTACCGTTGATGCCGCTACGCAGAAAAGAATCATCAAGCAACGGTGCATTGAGAAGTTTTATCTAATGTAAATATTAATTGTGTATTTGAAAAGTAGAATTAATTATATTAAGATCGCTCCGATCGCATACATCGAAAATTATATTCCTCGTCGTTAGGTTTCTTGTCATCAACCAAACCGTCCAAACGAATAAACACCGCGATTGAAAATCAGTTAGTGCCGGTAAGTTCAGACAAGCCTGCAGCTGCTGTTTCCGGTTTCGAAATTTCGGATTAAATAAGTCTTGCCACCAATACTGTGTACTGTATCTGTAGATTATAATACATCGTACATTGCAATATTTATGAATTATGGGTGATTTATATGCAATACAAAATGTTTGCCGGTGCGCGTATGCGATCGCGTTTATGTTGTGGTCAGTCATCGCCACGAGGCATAATAAATAATTAGGCAGGACGCCTGGTCAGCCATAATTATTCTACAGCTTCATTCGTACAATTTTATGTGCAGCAAAAAAATTAATAGGCGTTTTCATTCTCAGAATATTTTCTTTTCAGAATGGCAAATGATAGTCAAACACAAAGCCTGAAATCGTGACAGAGCGGAAAAAATCAGTCTGTCGCAATGGTAGCCACCCTCTGACGCGCGCCAGCCGGGACCCTGCAGTAAATTGCACGCTTGCACCACAGCACTGGCTCCGTCACTCTGTGCACCAAAGCTTGCCAAAACTTGCAAACTGGCCTGCGACTTGAGCCTGCACCAAAACGATTTTATTTTTATATTTTTATTTTATCCATCATTTTTAATTTATTTTATCGTATCTTAATTTATGAATCATAATCGATCGATTCGGGAATTCGGGACACTTTTATTCGCGTAGATCCCGAAAATTCCACTGGTTGCCTCAATTTAGCTTCCTGTCCGAATTTCGAAGGCAGAGCGTGAATTTTGCTTGCTGCTGAATTTCGTCTGGCCGAGTTTTGACCGCGTCGACCGATGACGTCATGGCTTCGTTAGAATTCTCCCTTCTCCTCGTGGCTCTCCTGGCCGTCGTCTCCCGGATCAATGGCTATGACGGTAGCTACGAGGAGGAAGTGGACGCCGAGCACGACGCCGTGCAGTTCCCCAAGGAGACGATGAACACGGCGCAGGCCAAAGCGGAGTATGACCAGTTGGTCATGTACTCGCAGATCCCCACCTACGGATCCTGCTGGAGTGAGGCGCTGGAGAATCTCCACCATAACTGCAAGAAATTAACGGAGGGCGTGCAGAAGCAGCTGGCGTTTGATTTTGCCAGCTGCTTCCTGAAGAAGACAGGTGAGGAAGGGGGTTTTCACGGTCCGTTGAAAAACTGCGTTTGGTGTAGCGTTAGCGCGGGCTTCCCTGTACAAGGATACATTAGGCGTCGGGTGTAGTACAACATTGTACAGGGTTGCGCACAGTTTAATCTCTGGTGTTGAAGTTCTCGGCGCGCTTTTGTTGCGTAACGCGTTTGCGTACTGTATGAAAAATTATTTTTAAGCTAAGATAAAAATTGGAAATAAATTTTAAACCGCGCATTTGGCGTTTTGCAGGTGCGGATAAAGTAAAATGCCTACCGGAACAGGATTTGTCGGAATGCGCCGCGAATCACAGTCAGAATTTCTTCACATCGTTCGTGCATTTTTTCACCAATACGCAGAGTGTCTGTTTCCACATTTCATCGGAGATTTGGCAGAAAAGAGCGGAACGACAGGTAATAATTTTTTTTTCTTCGCGGGAAAATTTTTGGATTTAATTTTACCCTGTATCGGATTTTTGTATTTATTTTAAGCGTGTATATTTCTGAATTTCGTAATTTCTTTGCATGCATTTTTTCATTTTTGTGATGACTTTTTATCGTGTTTTTTTCCCTGGCGGAAAAAAATGTTTGTATTAAATTATACCATTTAGGCATTTGAATTTTCAGTGTATTTTATTCGTGTGTTACTTGAGTTTTGTTGTGTGAGTTTATTTTACATTTTTGTGACGATTTTAGTATGAATTTAATTATTTTTGTTAATAGGTTCTCCGTTTGATGGACGCGTCGCACGTGGTAACGGGCCGACTGGAGGAGGCGCGCACGGTGCAGACGCTGCTGCTGGAACAGCAGAAGAGCGCGCTGGGCAATGCCGAAGAGATCCGCCTGTGGATTGGCAACATCGCCGACAAGATTGCGCATCTGCAGAACGTCTTCATCGACGAGTTCACCGGCTTCTACTCGCTTATCTTCTACTTCGTCTCCACCGCGGCGTGTTTTATCTTGACCGCCACCCGACGCACATCAGGTAGAACATGAGAATCATTTTGTTAAAAATTCGGCAATTTTTGTAACGTAACTGAATTTATTTTAAATTTCTTTGAGAATTTTATTCCAGACAACGGAGCGATTTATAATGCACACAAACAAAGATTAAACGATTTTTCTGCGGAATTATTTAAATAAATTTCTAATATTTACGATGCTTTCAGTTCTGAGAAATAGCTGATTTGTACGAGACGCTGTAAAATATAGCGATTTAATAATACGCAGAAATTGAATGATTTTTTGTGCAATAATTTAATTGGTCTTTAATCTGTTACAATTTATTTTCCATCCTTTAAAAATAGCGATTAATAGTTTTGAAGAAGAACGAGTTTTTTGCGGGGTTATCGGATTGATTTCTGATTTGCATTGACAATTAAAATTATTCTTAATTTGATGCGTATGGGTTGTCATTTGCTTTTAATTTCTGTTTTGATTTTTTGGTTAATTTTGCAAGAATTTCGGTGACGGAGGACGGGAATTAAATCGCCTTTGCAATGGATTCTGGCTGCAGAAAATTGATTTACCAATTTAATTTAATTTTGCAGGCGCCCGGTTCTGGATCTTCCTGCTGCTGGTCGCCACCTTCGGCTTGGAGCGTTTCTACACCAAAACCAAACTCGCCGCCCTGGAAGGCCTGGCCAGCTCCGACACCATCAACCGCGAACTGTCCGCCGACGCGTGGATGATCCGGCGCATGTTCTGGATCATCGCCGCGGCCATTTTAGTCTACTTCGCCTACGCCTTCGTCGACATCAACCAGATCAACACCGAGATGATCCGCGAGATTCGCGCCATGCTGGAACGCGGCATGCCGGTGTCCTTGCCGGGATTAAATCATTTAAACGGAGACATTCCGGCCGGGAATGGCGGGGTTAAGGAGAGCCTGATGGGGTTCGCGCAGAAGGGACGGGATGTGTTCGACGGGGTGCGGGAGAAATTGGGACGCCGGCCGTTGAGCGAGTACGATACCGTCAGTCCGCGGCGCAGTGTCACGCCGGCCCGGGAGCGGAGTATGGCCAACGGGCCCCGCACGAATGGTAAACGACTACTGTATTTTTTTTTAGTTAAAAAATATATATCTGTATGTTTTTTAAAAAATTTCTACGTCAATTTGAATTTTCATTTTTTTCACTGGTTTGCTAAGCGTTTGTGGTTGGAGTACGTTTCGGTGTAGGCGATATTCATTCGAAACGTTCCCGGTTCGATTACCAGTATTGAAAAAGATCTAAATTGGCGGCGTCTAATAATTTTCTTTTAATTTTTTATTATTTCTCTAGATTGATTTTTATGCATTTAATAATGTCTCAGTGTAGGGTGTATAAAACAGCAACGTTTGGTAATTTTTTAGAGGTTGTTTGTACCGCGCAGGTCATTTGTAAGGTCATGGAATGTAAGTAATTTACCGATGTCGTTAACGATGTCTTTGTAGGCCACAATCTTCCGCCGCTGGCCGAATCCGACCGCGAGGACTCCCCGGTCCGCGAGGGCTCCTTCGACAGCCGGCGCACCAGCCGCGAGACCACGCCCCTCCGCTCCCCCGCCCCCTACAACCTCCGCTCCGCCTCCCTGGCCACTTCCCCCGCGGCCAACGCCAGCGCCCAACGCCACGTCCGCTCGCGGTCGCTGAGCCGGGAACCCACGCCGGAGCGCAACCACCTGGATCTGGTTGATCTGAAGAAACGTCTGGAAGCCAGCGGGACGCGCAACGGCCTGGCCACCGTGCACGAGGAGAACGGACAGGATTCCGACTGAACGGATTAACCGGCAGTGTTTATTAGTCATTTTGCGGCAGTCAGGGTTTGTTTGTTGTTTTGGCGGGTGGAGATCTGGAATGATTGATGCCGGATTGAGCGGGGATTTTTTTTCGCTGGGTGACGTCCGTTTTCCCCGAATTTTTATACTTTTTAGTGCCAATTTTTCTGTGCCTTAATGTGTTTTTTTTAAATAAGTACTGGATAATGCTTTTTGGGTGAATAATGCGCTTGAAATAAACTGTTAAGGTGTTAAATCGGGAATATCGCGAAATTTGTAATCATTGTAAATATTTTTTTAATTTTGACAGGAGTCAACTAATTCGGAATAATTCAAAGAATAAATAATAAGTCAAATAATTCAGAATTGTAATTATTCAGAATAATACATAATCACATAATTCAGCATTTTTGAATAATCATTTTCAGTATTATTTCTTTCCAAGAACGGCTAAAAATCAACGTCATGGGAATAAATACCGAATGTTACGAAATTTAATCATTATTAATATTTCGTAATTTTTATCAGGGATTACTGTAATTAAAGTCACATAATTCGAAATCTGTGTCACAATTAAAGTCACATAATTCGAAAATGTTCAGTAATAAGTTTTTGAAGAATGACTTGAAATAAACCTTCACGGTAGTAAATCGCGAATATCGTTACACCATAAAATTCTATTTTATTTTTTGATACTATGTAATTTTTATCGGGGTTAAAGCCGAATCAGGGATAACTGAAAAGCGACAATCCAGAAATCCACACAAACGGGAGAAAAACTTTCTGCTTGATAATATCATAATACTGTATATCGTATATAAAACGCTCCGCGAAGCTCTGATGAATTTGCTGTTCGCAGTTTATTTAACGTACAGTAGTTGTAGACTTCTTTGAAATAAAAAAATAAAAAAAATAAATGTTCTGTATAAATGCGATTTTGTGGAATTATGGCTTAGTGATATGCAGATCACATAAAGGACTTTTTAGCCCTTGCACTACACTGTCATATCTGTTAGCCCACCGTTTGCACTTTGCACACAAACGTACTGAATACACTGCATTGTGACTGCAATACGACAATTTCCATTCAGTGTGTATGAACTGGACTGGAAGCGCGGAGACGGCTGAAACTAGAAAATGGAAATCCGTACTGCTGGAATTGGCATTTCCGTTTGGCTGATTCATGCTCGCTGCTTGAATCTGCTGTGGAGAAATTTCACGAATCATTTTCCACACCAAAAAATAACAGACGAACTACTAGTAATTTCGCAATTTTAAATTTTGACTGTGACCGTTGATAAAACTCGGGAAAATTATACTCTCCCAAGATTTTTTCTTTCTGATCTGAAGATGTGAGAAGCTGAAAGCCTCGAGAGCGTTCCGACAATTTTTTCAGCCTCGGTTAACGATGATTTGAAGAGTTTTGGTGTTTTCTGTGTACCATGTTTTCCTTCGAGGGAGATTATCGCAAGAATCCCCGTCAGGTTCAGCGGGGTTTCGGCAGTGTGGTAAGGCCGCAACCATCAGAATGTAGCGTTTTTCGCGGGTTGACAGTGGCTGTGTTGTACAGGAAGCACGGGAGCAGTTGTTGAAGCGCGCTGCTGAGGATCGTCGACAACGCGAGGTACTGCGTCGCGCTGGACGAAAAAGGCGCTGGTTTCAGGCGTCGTCTGAATTCTCGTGTTTTTCCTAGGAGCTCCGACGTAAAACAGAATGCGCCACCAAAATCCAGGCGGTGGTGCGGCGCTTTCTGCTGCGTTCGCGAATGGTTGGTACTTTACTATTTTATTCATTCATAAGAAATTTATTATTTCTAATTTTAAGTTATTTTTCATTTTTTTCCCGCTCAAATGTGAGAAATGGCTGCATAGCTTTTTGGAAGAGATTATTATGTGCATTCTCGTTCTCGTTTGGCTGTTTTGGTGTGTTCTTTATTTTGAAGATAAATTCTGTTAAAGATGCTGGTTTTCTTGATATCGAGAATTTTTATGGAATATTTTTTTTTTGTAATTTTCGAAACATTCGAATTGTTTTGACAATTTCATTTTATTTCAATAACTAAAATTTTTTAAGTAGGTTATTGCTCACTTTATACATTTTGGAAGGTTTTTATGCCATCGTTTATTAATTTATTCTAAATTATTATTTTCTGTGATTTTTAAAAATTTTGATGGAGTGCCATATTTTTAGAACAGTATTTTCTACGTAAATTTAAAATGTTTAAAATTGAATTATTTCGATAGGGTATTTTAATGTTATTATTTTTTAAAAAAACGTTTTGGATTTATTTTCCAACATTTTATCTGAAACAGTTGTTTTCTGAATTTTCTGAAAATTTTTAGAAAATTCTTTTTGCAGCGTTCGCAGTGGCGTCAGGAAATAGACGCGGACAAATCGCCGCTGGACGTTCCGCGATTACTCCACCGGATGCGCGGCATCAACGTCTTCGCCCCGCGCAACCGCGCCGTGCTGCCCGACCAGGAGAAGTCCGTGTTCTTCCTCAGCCAGCACGCGCTGCGCCTGGCGGAGGCGCTCGTTGCCGCCAGCCGCGCCGATCCCGTCGCCGCGCTGACGCTGGCCAAATTCATCGCCGCTGTGCTGCAGCGCGCCGCACAGTTACCCGAAGCCAACAGTCCGCATGTCGGGACGGTGCTGCGGCTGGTGGAGATCGTGACGGATGAGCGGAATTTCACTGGGAAACCGCTGGAGATGATCTGCCGTGTCCTGATTGAGCGGGAATATTTTCGGTGAGAAGTTAATGTGTGCGGGCGCTCGCACTTCCCTGTTCGGTTGATGGTGGTGTCTATAGTGATGGACCAGAACGTCACCGGTTGCGCCGTATTTAGGGAAATAATTTCTAATTAAATTCGAAATTTCAGTAGATAATTACCGTTACAAATTTTAATTTATTAATTTTTAGCATAATAACTGTAAGATAAAATACTAATTTTTAGCAAGTAATAAATTTTCAAATTTGTTTCAGTACAAACTATAAATTAAGTACTGTGATGAATTGGGTTTTAAACTTGATTTGATTAATAAATTTTCACATTTGATTCAGATAATTTGAATCTAGGTGTAAAATCTGACCATCTTATTATTTTTAATAATTTTAAAATAGATGACTTTAAATATACGAATATATGTAATTAGAAAAATATTAATTTGTGTTAACATTTTTGTAATGCACGTAAATAGATATCATTTGCAAATTGCAGTTTAGAACGACAACACCTTGGTATCAAATTGTGCAATTCGATTTGCTAAATTAATTTGCATTCGTTAATCGTGGTACAGGAAAGCGTGCCGCTTGCGCTAATTTATTTCCCGCTAATTTTAAATGTTGATTAAATTAGACATTGCGTGATGATCATGGGGAATCGTTTGGCGGGAACGCTGGTCAGCGCCTCCCCGCGGCCGCCCACTGAGTTCCATGCGTCGTTGTTGCGGATTATGATGCGCCCGTTAAACGTCCTGCTCAACGCGGACGGCGTTCTGGCGAAATCGGCCGTAGCGGCGTTTTGTCAGCACGTCCTGGCCGGCCAACCCGAGCCAGTTGTGGAGGGATTTGTGCTGCGCGCATTGGCTGTTCCTCCGGAAAACGACGCTGCCGGGTCGGGTAATCAGTGGGGATTTTCACTGCCGCGGTTTATACAAGTTTTGGCCGGGGTCGTGGAGGAACAGGGCGCTAATCCCAACGGTGAGGGAAAAAATGGTTATGTTGCAGTACATGTTGTTTATGTTGCGTACGTCTGCGCCGTGTTATGATGTACGCTGTTTATAAAGACAGATAAATGGAAAAGCTACCTGCGTGATAATTCGTCATGAATTCCGTGTAGAAAAAATTCCGCCAGACAACTGAAACACGCTTGTGTAATTTTTATAAAAATTATTGAAAAAAATTGTTGAAAAAAATCATTTTCAGTAATCTTTTATTAAACAAAATTATTGAAAATATTTTAAATTACTGAAAAAAATTTGAAAATAATTCTTTATAAACACCTGAGTTTCTTTATAAAGTGGTTTTTGGAACCGCTTGCTTGCTAACATTGTCCACTCAGGAGATGGCGATAACAAGCCGTTACACTACACTGGCATGTCCCATGGATCCTATTTGCGCACAGACGTACAGTTTCTTTGAAGACTTTACAGTTTACAGTGTTAATATTCAGCTAGAATTGTTGGATCATAGTTTATTATTTTTAAAAGATATTTATTTATACTGATCGTTTATTTTTCGATACGCTTTTGTTATTTTGCATTTGATAGCTTTCCATGGATTTATAATTTTATTGGAAAACTTTGAAAAAAGATTTATTTTATTTGAAATTTATTTGAAAGGGGTTTGAAATTTTATTTGAAATATTTATTTGAAATGGTATTTTTTAGGGTGTACGTTCTGTTTCCGATCACATACAGATGAGTACACATTCTGATAATTATAAAAATGGCGTAAAAATTCATATTATTTTGAAACATCGGCGAAAAAAATTAATTATGAAAAATTTGGCTAACTGCGACAGAAAATAATTAGGAATTGTATATTTCGTGAAATTATTGAAACATTGCCGGTTTTATTTCAGTAATTAAGAGAATCTGTGCTCTTAATGTGATAATTTAAACAGGTCCGCATGTTCATCCCACGTTGTGGCTGTCCTTCGCGCTGTTGATCGTGATTTCCGGCTGGTCGCCGGTGTTGACCGTCCAGCGTCCGGCGGCGTTGCTGCGCGTGCTGGAGTTGGCGCTGATGGGGAAGTTCAGCCGCGACCACCACAAGGACGATCCCATCCATTTCACCGGCAGCACGGCGTCCGCCGCCGACGAGGACGATAGCGACGAGGAGATGGAGATGGAGAAGCGGGAGATGCAGCTGGAGGCCATGTCGCCGTTGGAGAAGGCGGTGCGCCGGGAAATTGACGAGATTATCGAGTTGCCCGGGTTTGTGGCGTGTATTATGGCCTGTCTGGCGGTACGTCCTTCGGTTTTACAATTATTAAATTTAAATTGTAGTTTTTATTTTCTTATTTTTATATAGCAGTGCTGACAGAATTTTGCCATCTTGGAATTTCAGCTTTAGCATTTATAGAACATTAATTAGATGATGTGCGGAAAAATAGAAAATTATATTATTTTAAATCGTCTTCGGATTGTAATAATGATTTCGAAGCCGAACTGCCGACATTGCAACCCGAGTAATTAAAAATTCAAATGCCGTCACTTGGTGACACTGTTTTCAGAATAAAAGTTGTTATGATAAGCAATGAAGTGTCCGATCAGCAGGTTAATTTCTTTTTTTTTCTGGCATGGAGGAAAAAAAATAGTTTGCACGATAATCAGTTTTGAGACCTGGTTACTGAAGGAAACGGTATTATTCTCTGTTCTAGTTTTTTTTGCGCCATTTTTCCGCCAGTACACTACGATAACCAATTAAATATGGAACTAACCATCCGACTTCTGAACAGTGTTTCCATTTTGTGTTCACCCAATAACGAAAAACAGTCACTCTGTTGTAGAGTTTTAAAAGATTAAGAATCTATATATAAGAGTTTAAATAATAAAAATTTGTATGTTAGCTTTTAGAAACGAAAACTTTAATGTAGAGTTTTAAAGAAATAAAAATCTGTATGTCTGATTTTAAAAACATAAAAATTTTGATGTAAGGTTTTAAAAAATAAAAATTTGGATGTGAGGATTTGCTGAGAAAATTTATTTTTTTAAGTATCTCCATAATATTATTAAACTGTTTGATAATATTATGGTATCTCGAATACTTACAATATTTGGTGTATGCTTCTGTTCTGCGAATATATACCGGGTGGTGTTAGGTGGACAATATGGCGTGTGTGGAGAGCGCGGCGGGCATCTGTATCGGGTTGCTGATGGAGGAGACGCCGGAGCACATGGTGATCAGCAGTCTGTTCTTCAAGTTCTCTTTTAATGCACCCTTCCTGCGCGCATTATGGAATCTCATTCGCCAGTACAATCTGGCCGATATGCTGCGCCATCTCGGCAATCCCGGCCATTTTGCCGCCTGCCGCAGCTGGGTCAAGATGTACGCAGTATTCTGCCGGCTACTGCTCTTATCGCTGGGCACCGTGTACGATGATGAGTTCTCCCGCAGTCGGAATAATGAAATTCGCGAGGTAGGCAATCTTTGGTTTTCTGTTAATTTTGCAGGAAAAATATCAATTTATAATTGATTCAGTATTTCTTTCTGATTTTCTCAACCAATGTTTTTGCTTGCGTTGTTTCTCTTTGATTTTTAATTAATTTCTTAGTGTCCTTCAATCTGCGTCGAATAATATTATTTTAGTTGGGATTATAAAACATTTCATGTTTTTTTCCAAATAAATGTGGTTACTTATTTCCACAATTATTTGTTTTCATTCCGTTTGATGTCTAAGGGATGCTGCTGTCTTCAGAATTATGGTTATATTGTATAAAATAAAAGTATTATTTGTGATGGCAATAAACCATTATTTTATGTTAATTATCAATATATATATTTTTATATATATATTTTTTAAATTAATATATATTTTAAATATATTGTTTTTCGAAAAAAATATATTTTTTAAATTTATGTGGTTTTCCGGGTTATTTGTGATGGCAGTAATTATATTTTATTTACAAATTATCAATGATTGTACGTTATTTAACTAATTTTGCAAACTATTATTTTTTGTGATGCGGGATTTTCTGCTGCTTGATGGGAACACATTTCCGCATTTAACAGATAACCGGCAAACCCGTGACCAGCTTCGAGTTCTCCGTGGACGAAGTGGTGGAGATGGCGTCGATGGCGCGTGACGTGGCCGCCGAGATGGTCTTCGTGGCGTACTCCATCGGTGGCGTGCAGTGGCAAGCGGTGGACGGGGAATTCGCCGGTCTGATGGCCCGGTTGTTCCTGGCCCTCGTCGGACTAATCAAGGAGCTGCACGATCGCGACGCCCGCCGCGCCTTCTGTCCGGAGGGCGTGTGGACCAGTCCGCGGCTCAGCGGTTTAGCGGAGAGATGCCGCCGCGCCAACTCCAGCAAGATGGTCGTGGATGTCTTTCAGAAGGCCAATCCCTTTAAACAGTATGTGGCGGAAAAACTCCGCGCCGGTTTGTGCTCGTATGGTAGGAATGTTTGTGGGGAATTATTGGGATAATGATTTCGGGGGGAAAAATTGGATTAATCGCTTCAGTATAATGGGGGAAATCTGTGAATTTATTGTACTGTGTTACCATAGCGTTTGCTGCGACATGCACACACCACTGCACTACGATTTTTCTGGTAGTATGCAACTGTTCTTGGGGTGTTTTCGTAGGTAGAAAATTTGTTGACGGTGGATGCTCGTACGTTGCTTATTCCTAACATTCGTAAGATTTTTACGCAATATTTAACTTGAGTTTGTGTTAGTTTGATCTCAAAAATCTGCCTGAATCTCCCTGAATTTTTTTTATTAATTTTTAACGAAAACAATAAGATAAACCGCTGATGCTTTCAGAGCGTGTGCACTCCCTTCCGTATGATAATATTGAAAATATTATCTGTATTTCAAATAATAATAATAATAATATTGAAAATATTATCTGTATTTCAGATAATAATAATAATAATATTGAAAATATTATCTGTATTTCAAATAATAATTTACATTACGCGAACATAGTAAATTTGTTTATTTTGAAGTTTGTAGTCTTGTACGTATTCGTATTTTGGATGGATTAGCAACTTGACGGCCAGCGTAGTGCAGTGGCATTTTAAAAGGTACCATGGCTTTAGATTGCAACTTCTGAGATTCATAATTCATATCAGCGCAAATTTTGCAATTGTGAGAACGTGCTAACTGCAGATAAAATTTTTTGCCCTAAAAGTGTAAAACTGATAATTGTGAATTATTCTTCGCGGTTGTAATGTGATTATTTTGAATAATTAGAAAGTTGGAAATTTCGTAAAATGATAACAGAAAATTGCGTACTGGAAATGTTTATTTTGCTGTTTCCGCAGTCGAGCGCAGTGTTCACAATTTTAATCCGATTTTCTTTTTATGTAATTGGACAGGATCCGCGATGTGATGGTGTTCCAGGGCGCGTCGTGGGAGGAGATCCGTCTGAGTCTCGTCCTGGACCAACTCCCCTGTCTCCTGCCCTTCCAGCAGCGCCTGCACCTCCTCTACCTCCATCTGAAATCCTCCAAGATGGCCGTCCGCTCCGAGCTGGACTTTCTGCGCCCGGACGCCATGTTGACGGTCAAAGTGCACCGCGATCGCATCTACGAGGACGCCTTTGAAGACCTGCATTCCAACGTGGTGACGGATATGCGGAAAGGGATCCGCGTGGTGTTCCACAATATGGCCGGGCTGGAGGAGGCCGGCGTGGACGGCGGCGGGCTGTTTCGGGAGTTTATGAACCAGACGCTGAAGGCCGGGTTTGACGCTAATCGGGCCTTCTTCCGCGCCAACGAGGAGGGGGATATTTATCCTAATCCCGATGCGGCCATCTGTCATCCGCGCGAAAAGTACGTCGTCGTCCCTTTTCCGCATATATTAACAATAACAGCTGAGTTAAAAAATATTGCACAATAAATACATTAAAAGAAATCTATTACTTAATATAAAAAAAATTTAGTTGTTTTTTAAGAAATTAATTAATCAGTTTGATAAATAGTTGTACGGTTTGGTTTTTAACCGATTGAATCTAACTTATTCTGATTTGTTACCAATTTGGAATGATTTTTAGTGTTCACCGGTTGGTATTAATTTATTGTGATTTTTGATACGATTACTTTGCGTATTTACAATAATTTTAATTCAGTGAATTTTGAAAAACGGTTTGTTAAGTTATCGCTGATGTTCTTGTCGTTGGTTTGTTCTTGCTGAAAGTTAGATGGATTGCGTAGTGAATGGTAGAGCAGTGGCTGTGCAAATAGGCTTAACGACTTTAGCATTCCAAGCTAATACTGTACTATCGCCCATAAAGCTTATTGTCGGATGGTGTGTAACTATTAAATTGTTTTTTCAAATTGGGCTGTTTTTCTTGATGATTTTGCTGAGAAAAATGTACATGTTGTACACCTGACATTTTTATTTTTATTCATATCCCAACAGTTGTCGAATGTCGAGTGCGATTAACATTAACATGAGCATGTGTAATGACTGTGTTTTCGTAGTATTCGCGATCATTTCTTCTTCTTGGGTCGTCTGCTGGGCAAGGCCATCTTCGAGGGTCTCCTGACCGAGCTGCATTTCGCGGATTTTTTCTTAAAGAAGCTTTTATCGAAGAACAGCGGGAACGTGGACATCCACTATCTGAAATCGCTGGACTCGACGCTGTTCAAGAATCTCCTGTATCTGAAGCAGAACGCCCAGGGCGTCGGCGAACTGCATCTGGATTTCACGGCGGCTGCCGGGGAACTGGGTCCGCAGCAGGTGGAGCTGAAACCCAACGGACGGAACATCCCGGTGACGGAGGACGCCGTCACGGAGTACGTGTTTCTCATGGCCGATTTCAAGCTGAACAAACAGGTCAGTGGATGTAACCACTGAAAGACGTAGAGTAAGGGCAATTTTGAGGAATCCAGGTCAAATGACAGACGCCTGCCACACTGAAAAATCTAAGAAAATTATGAAAAAACATCGTTGGTGTTCGATTAATATTTTTTGTAAATAATTTTTATTGCTTTCGGAAAGAGGTAACGATTTTAGAAAATCATTTTTTAAACTGCACGCTGCGTGATTATGTTTAGATACTTGAGAAATGATATTGTAGATCGATGCAAAAAAATGTTCTGATAGAGTAAAAATTTCCCTTTATTTATTTTTCCTTTATATGTGTGAAGAACAGTTGGCACTGTTTTGGAATTGTTTATGGCATTTTTATGTCTTTCCTGATATTTTATGCGCAGGTATGGGATTTTACCTTATTTTTTAGCCTGGTATTTTCTTAGCTTAACGGTAATCTTGGTTCTTTTCCCGTCTTTTGTGCTGTTTAATGTGAAGGTCGGTTTGTTTCTTGTTTGAAAATAATTTATTTAAATAAGTTCAATAAAATATTTTTTTATTGAATAAATTTATGGTGGGTGGGTTTTTACGCGAGGTCGTGAAGGTTTTGGAGGCGTTGTGTGGCACGCTGTTAATCGGTGTGTTTTATCGGTAGATTCGTGTACAAACCGCGGCGTTTCGCGACGGCATCAACGACGTGGTGCCCATCCAGCTGCTGCAGATCTTCAACTTCAAGGAACTGCAGACGGTCATCTCCGGCACGGAGGAGCCCATCGACGTCAGTGACTGGCGCAAGAACACCTACTACGCCAGTACGTCATTGCCCAAATATGCTACAATATGAAATTACCTGCGAAATCGTAGTGCATCGGCTTTAGTATTCGCTCCATCTCTGGTGTTGTCATAACGAAAGTTTTCAGAAAGACCGCACTTGCTAGACAATTTTCAAACAAATTGGTTTAACAGTTTAACTTGTCTTCGTCATTTTTGATCATCAGTAAATTATTGCTATCATCATCATTAAATTAGTTTTTTCTTGATTTTGCTTTATTCATGTGTTTATTATCAGTAAATTAATGTCAAGATTAAATTGTTTCTTAATTTCTTTATTCATTTTTATCATCAATAATTAATTATTGTTATGGTTAAAATAATTTTTTAAAATTTTTCTTATACATTTTTTATCATCATTAAATTATTTTTATGGTTAAATTCGTTTTAAAAATTTTTCTGATTAATTTTTTATCATCGTTAAATTATTGTTATGATTAAATCGGTTTTTCAATTCCTTTTTGATTCATAATTATTACACAAGGATTGCAGTTTTTGTAATATTATGTTGTAAGCGTTATTGATGTTTCTGACTGTATTATTTTTCGCTAGGTCCGTACGATGACGAGCACCCGACCATTCAGAGTTTCTGGCGCATTGTCTCGTCGTTCAGTGAGCCGACCAAGCGGCGCCTGCTCAAATTCGTCACCAGCTGCTCCCGGCCGCCGCTGCTCGGATTTAAGGTTGGTTCCAAAATCTTCGTCTACCTTTACTTTAAATACTTAAAATACTTTGTCTACTTTTACTTTAAATACTTTTTTCATCTACTTTTTCGTAACTCATGATTATTTCGCAGAATAAAATTACTTCACGTTTTGTTTATTTTTTCTAGCATTCTTATCAGCTACATCTATCATTATCTTCCCGTTAATTTTATGTTTGATTTTTCGGGATATGTTTTGTACGGAAATTTCGCTGAAAAATTGGCATTTTCGTTCATATTTTTTGTCTTCGCCAGTTTTTGTTCTTGGGCATGACAATAAGCTCTAATTAAAGCATAATAAACATTCTAAAAAATAGTGAGTATAATAAATATATATATGAGTATAAAAAATATTGAGTAAAGCGTTCCAGACTTTAAACATTAAAACAAACCAAGTAAAACTATCAAGCCTGAAGGAATAATTATCCTAAGAAATAGAACTGAAAAATTAAAAATCTGCTGCGGAAATTTTTGGCGGTTGTTCTGGTTGAATTTTGCGTTTGAAGAAAATAGTAGTATGGTGACTAATTCAGGATTTCTGACAGAAATTGTAGTGTAAGGGCTGTTTCCGGACGTTAGCCGCAGAAAACCGCAGCGCATGATTAGAAAACCGCAGAATTTAGCCAGATATGTTGTACTGTACAATAAAGATGCAATATAGTTGCAGATAGTATTTTTCAGTCATGCGAGAAGCCAAAAATAATATACGTACAGAGGGTTATTCAGCCAAGTGTGGACACTTTTTCGAAAATTTCTGCTTAGCCGTCGCAAGCTCATTTTACTTTTTTTAAAATTTTATCAGGTAGCCACAACATCCAGTCATACTCTGAATTCAACCGAGTCAAGATTTCGTCATCCTGTAGCTCAGGAAAAAAATAAGTTTGTCCCCACCATGTTGGCAACAGTTGACCAGTTCAGCTATAGGAAATGGATCCCCCTTATTCAAAATTAATATAAAATTTGGGTTTTCGCAATACTCTATTGAAAACCTATCAGGGGTTTCGAACAATCATTTTTCAGTAGAAATTACTAGTTTTTTTCGATTGGCAAGCAGCATCATTGTTTTCTCAGCAGTGCTCCCGGGAGCACCTCTCTGGTTCTGGATGACTTCTTCGTCCCTGCCAGGGTTGATCCCGGGAGCGTTTTTCTCGACCAATGAAAATTATAAATGGTAGAGAAAGACTTGCTTTACAATTTTAGTTTATGGAGGGACGAAAAGGATACCCATAGTTCCGTGCATAAAAATTCGCGCAATGAGCGTGGCTCCTGCGGGTCTCTTCCTGTTTTTGCGTTTTTTCCAACCGTCCTCCCACAAGAACGCGCAAGAATATGAAATCGTTTTTGCTACAAAAAATGTTCGGGTCGCCGTTTTTGACAATTCAAACCATCCAGATATCAAAAACAGACGATCCGTTTAAGGCCAGATGATCAAAAGCCAAATTTTGACTGGTCAAGGGGCAGAAGTCGGAGTCTTTTGGTCAACAGACAATATGGCGAGCATTTTACGCTGGATTTTCACCAAAATTTGCAAAAAGCATTCAGACTAGTTAGCCGTTGTATTGACATGCTTATGACATCATTTTTCTTAAAATGAAATTTATAAGGAATTTTTTTTCCAAGTGTCCACACTTGGCTGAATAACCCTCTGTAATTACGTATCGAATTTTTTTAAATTTATCTCCTTTCTAAAAATCAAATTACGGCGTAAATATTAGTTTTATTTTCGTGATAGTATTAATTATCATTTTAATTATATCAAGAGTAGTTTTAGAAAATCCAGATAACTTTCTAACCATATAAAATCGCGTAAACTGCACTATCATTTTTAAGAAACGAAATAAATATTTTTTTTATTGTCATTAAATTAATTAGCATTACTTTAATCGCAGGATTTACCGCATAAATTCTCGATTAATCCGGTGAACGACAGCGAACGCCTGCCGACGGCCAGTACGTGTATGAATTTATTGAAACTGCCGAATATTCCCGATGAGAAGAAGCTGCGGGAGAAACTCCTCTATGCCATTGAGTCGGAGGCCGGTTTTGAATTAAGCTGATGCGGAAAATAATTTACGGAATTATTCAGCCGGAATATTTTTGAGAAATATGTGCATATACACTGTGTATAGAGATCTTTCGTGTTTTTTCTATGCCAATGACGTGGTCAACTGCGGACCTGTGATGCGCTTTAAATTGATCATTATGCTCGTCTCGTTCGAATGGAGGAAATTAATTTGTTAATTGTGAAATTAGTGAGGATTTTTTTTGTCGGTTCTTGGTTGAAAAGCGTGGAAGTTTGTGTTGAAGAAAAATACGTCCTGCATGTTTCGGAATAAATACCGGGAAAAATCGCAGTGTAATGGCTGATAACCGAATCTGTCCACGTTCTCACGAATAGCAACCAGTTGGTAAAGCAGACACCAGTTGAAAATGTTTGACTGACGACTGTACGAAATACTAAAACACTACGGTATGTATTTTTAAAAGATACTTCGAATGCTGCCTTATATGGGCTCCCCTTATATTACTCTCCCTTATCTGGGCTCCCGAGCAATATGAGCAACCCTCTACATGGGCGGTTACGTTATTACTCACACTTTTGCAGCTGTTATCAGTGTTATGCCTGACTGAAAATTTTATTTATTCAAAATACTTATTTTGCCGGTACTTTTGTAGCATTTAGTTTGTTTCAAAGTGCTCAGGTTGCATCAACGACAGATTCAAAATCTTCCTAAAATTCAAAATCTTTCAAAATCTTTCTAAATTCAAAATCTTTCTAAACGTCGCCCGCTTAAATGCACTAAGAACCCCATGAAAAAATAATATGATATGAACTTTCGGCATTTTTCAGTTTGTTCATTGGCAAATCCGGTTGAAATTAATGGAAAATACTATATATAGATAATATATATAAATATAATTTGGATGTGAAATTTCGGAATTCTTTGGTGTGCTGACTAGTAAATCCGGTTGAAAGAAGCAGAAAAGGGTTCTGCTATAAATCCGACAAATTTAATTTGACGGGTATTGCTAACTAGCCGGGAGCCCAGATAAGGGAGAGTAATATAAGGGGAGCCCATATAAGGCAGCATTCGAAGTATGTTTGTTTTTTATAAAATTTAGGCGTTTTACTGTACAAAATCCAATAAAAGTAAGGCATGGAGTTTTAAGGAATGTTTATTTTTTTATAAAAATAAAGCGTACTGTATCAAATCTCATAAAAAAAGGAGTGTAATTTTAAAAGATGTGTTTTATTTTTGATACAAAATGTCATAAAAATAAGTAATGTATTTTTAAAATGTTTATTTTAAAAATTTTTTCGGCGTTTTACTGTACAAAATGTTATAAAAAGATGGCATGTACATTTATAAGGCATGGATTTTGTTATAAAATTTATGTTTTACATACTATACAGAGAGTTATAAAAATAAAAGATGCATTTTTTTTCTTTCGTATAGTATACATTGTGGTGTACGGTGTTTAAAGTTTTTTTTTAAAATCGTAACGGAATTTTAATAATCTTAATCGTTTGAATGGAAGAACAAATTTTTGCCGGTTCTTCTGGTATTTGTGGAAGATAATTATTTGAACGGGCATTTTTTGGTTGCAAATTGTGTACAAGTATTGGAGAACATACGGTACTATCATGTACTAAGTTTGTCAGAAAAATTGTAGCGTAGTGGGTAATACAGGGCCTTATAGGCATCAAAAACATCCGAGGCTCTTACAACCATATGAAATGTTAAAAAATGGTAATAGTTATTTTTGGATTGATAATTGTTTTTGTATAGTTATTTTTATTTTGATTGGTATTTTTATCGCAAAAAAAACTGCAGATAACCTACCATACGTTGTGCAGAGAATGTTAGTTTGCCATTTGTCAACTGTGGATTTGTGAGGAAGTGTGCTGTCCGTCTTGGTTAAATTTTGAATGCCACGATAAGAAAACTACTGGAACAGTATTTGCTGAAGAAATCGTAGTGAAGTGGCTGACCCATCAAGTGTGCATGGCCGCGAGATGATCACGTGCAAACCCAAAATCATAAGGGTTGTACAGTAAATAAAATTTTATTCAGTATAGATGTTTTTTTTTAATTAAGAGCTTTTTTGAAATCGTAGATAAATTTCAAATAAGGCGTAATTGCGCTCGTATATGGAACATTTAATTTGCTGACTGCGAATCGGTGAACGAATTTTTTTGCCAATAAAATAGGATATATCATATATGTATTTCATTCTAAATACTGTAATATAATTTTATTTTTGGCTGCTAAAATAAGACATGTTCTCTTGTAATTTATTTTTTTGCTAACAAGACATATAAAAATTATTAAAAAATCATGATGAGTATTTACTGAATAACTTTTACTTGTTTCGCATATTTCCAGTTTTTGTTGCGAAAAACTGAAAATTACCGTGGAGGTAAGTTGATTCAAGTACTGAATATCTTTACTGGGTTATTTAATTACTCTATTCCATTCAGATGCGGCATCAAATTTCAAGAACAATGCGGCGTGCAAATTCGTTATCCACAGCGATAAACCGAACCGATAGGATTGTTCTGGTGCAACAATGCGCCAACGGCGTTCAGTGATTAACACCTACACGCTAGTGCGTAATTAATTGAAATACGCATGCACCGGCCCAACCATTTGTCACATTGGAATACCTTTCCTGGTCGACTGCCGAACCGTGACCTTTACATATAATTAAGTTTTATTTAACCAAGATGTTGGCCATCGTATTGTGCGCCGTGCTGGCGGTGTGGGCGCCCGCCATCCGGGCGGCGGCGGACTGTCCCGAGTGCGTGAGCAAGCCGGAAGTGTGCTGGTCGCATGCCCACGCGGCGGAGGAGGCCAACACCGGTTACGAGGAGTCCTGCGCGTATCTGCGCTGCGACGACGACCGCATGGTTGTCACCGTCAGAAGCCCGGCACGGCTGCAGCATATCCGGCTGGAGGCCGTCAGACCCTTGCCCAACGGCCAGACGCAGCACTGCGAGAAGGCTACCTTCCAGCGTCTCACCGGCTGGCCCGTGGAAGTGGAAGGTAGGCGAATTCTTCAATGCATTGCAGTATTTCCAAGATATTTTCCTACGTATGTACGACATGTACACGTACCGTTCACAAAACATATATATAAATAAATATACGTATTTTTATATTCACATACGTATTTATTTAGCCTACATAGATATATTGTACTTAGGTGTGCATATACAGATAGAAATACAATATCATACATGTATATATGTGTGTATCATACACATATACACACACACATGTGTATGTGTGTGTATATGTGTGTGTATGTGTGTACTTGTATATATATATATATATATATATATAGATATGTATGTGTATGTACGAGTTTATGCGTATATTAATTTTATAAATATGTGTGTATATGTCTACGTATACTATATAAATTCAGGAGCTCATATTGCTTGATATAGTACCGGTGTATCGTACGTAAGATTGATGCTCTTATGTGCCCGCATCTACAGCCGCCAACACCATCGATTTGGCGGTTGTGGGCGGTCTAGTGTTGGACCCCGTTGACGATCCCAGCATCGATTATATGAACCAACAACTTTCCCAGTACAACGCTCGCCCCGGCCCGCGTGCCGACGAACCGGGTCTGCAGTCACTCGTACCCGGGGGCGTGCTGACGGTGCCCCGCGGGAGCGTCTGTGGCGCGGACGGCTCCGTGGTGTGTCCGACGCAGTACAATCTCCAGGCGGCCACCGTCGACGTCAAGGAGTACCTGGCCGTCACCGGCAACCCCGACATCGAGATCATCACCCGCAAGCGGCTGACGCTGCGCTGCCGCGCCACCATCCGCCAACCGCCCGCCGGCTCCTACCTGCCAAAGGTCAAGACGGAGGCTACCCACACGTGCCGACAGACCGCTTACCAGTACGTAAATACCATTACAAAGGTTGTAATTTACATATTTTCTTTATTTAATCAGGGATTTATGGGTTTATATACAAATTAAATAAATAAATACGTTTATCACTGTATATATACGTATACGTACGTATATGTATACGTACATATGTTTTTATGCACGATAATATACATATATAATATGTATGCACGTGTATATTATACTAAAATAATCATAATATATTTTGCAGTCATTATCTTTCGGTTTTTAACAAATCAGCAATACTACATAACAACATTATTTAATAAGTGATTGGTTCCGAAGTTTATTGAGATTGGCGATATAATACAATCGCAATTTCCAATAAAGTAAGAGATTTTTTACTGATAATATTATGTACAATTATTTTCAGTACTGTACATAATTGTACACGTGCAGAAAACTGTATACCGTACATATAAGTAATTTCGTTGTTTGGGTTCTGCTTGCAGAATTGTCGGTCGCCAAAATGATGACCGTTTCGAGATCACGGTATCGGAGAACCGGCACACGCAGGCGGCCGACCGCCAAGTGGGATGGTTCGTCGACAGCATCACCCTGGGCAAACTGCCCACCGACCAGATCCTCAATAATGCGTAAGTACACAGTACACCAGTGGCTAACGTTGGGGATGTATGCATACTTACTACAGAAATAATAAATATTATCAAAATCAAATATACAATATTTTTTAAACAAAAATGTATAATGATATTAAAGTGTATAATAAATACGTATAGCGGGTATAATAGTGCATAATAATAATATGTATAATAATATATACAATAATTATTGAACTATACAGTATAATTATTATATAATCAGTTAAAATATATAAATTATGTTTTAAGTAAATGTTATTGCCAAAAAAAAAGGAAAAAATCTAAAAAATTGTATTTGCGTACAGCGCCATCACCCCGGTGGGGGCGGCCATCGACACCGTGGTCGGCTTCAACCTGGCCAGCGCGCCAGCCTCCCAGCCGGCCTGGACGCCGTCTACCCTGGCCTACCAGTGGTCCAGCGACGTGGTGGTGGTGCCGGGTGAGGATGAAGTGCAGTTGGCCTCCACGTCCCTGTACTGCGTGCACCAGCCGACGACCGGGACGTTCGAACTGTGCGACGGCGCCCAGTTCTGCTCGTAATTACGGAAGACCAAGTATTGGCGCATAATTTATTTGGCCGCGCATGACGACCTTTCATACTATATTACGAATAATCGCACAGACTGCAGCAAAACTGATGTTTATTATTTTGTTGATCTTCGCCTCTGAACATGTATACGACGCCTCCGCTGTGTTGGCTAATGAGGACGGAATATGCGGGAAATTTTTATCGGCTACGCGTTGGTCGAAGTGTATTCAGCTGCGTACATATACAGTACACTTTATGCAGCAACGAAATGCGATAAATAAAAACACCGATGTGTGTAACAGTCTTTAATAAGCATCGTCATGTAAGTACAAACTGAATACTAAAGAAAACGAGATTTATAAGATTTATATGGGTGTGGTCACAGGAAAAAAAGACACTGATGGTGTGTGGTTTATATGAATATTTTTATTCTGTACAAAGTATTGTCCGGTTTTAGTTAAAATTCACCTAATAATTTTGAATTTAGACGGAATTTTTTGAAAGATTTTGAAAATCTCGGGCTGGATATTGTTATTATATAAATATTTATATTAATGACCTTTCAGGTTTTAATTTTCAGCATTCGCATCTGTTTTTATCGTAGCGAAAAAGCCGACTGTGGACAAAACTATATTAGGACAGGTGATACCGGTTGAATCATCCGCCAACGAAATGTTATTATTATATGAACCTAAATTTCCGCATCTGTGCTGTGCTGTTCGGTTAACAATACAAACGACCCAACCGATAAGATTTCCGATAATGACTCACCGAACAGAGCAGCAGCCAATAGAAATACTTTTCCAATTTGCTCCTGGTGTCGAGCAGTTGGCGAAATATTCGACAGCATAGAATTTCTTATGGGTGCAGGACGAGTACGGTATTGAATTCCGTATCAACTCCGATTACAGATAAACTGATACGATTGTTCTTGTGCTCGCATCAAGCAGCGTTCAGCGATTATATACCCACATCCTGCTACTGCTTAATATAACACACGTGCACAGCCCACCACTTCACATTCGCTTCCCTTTCTTAGTCGACTGCCGAGCTGTGACCTTTGCATATAATTTCATTTGGACTGAATTTCGGCATAATGTTGGCCATCGTGTTGTGTGCCGTACTGGCGGTTATGGCGCCCGCCATCCGGGCGGCGGAGGACTGTCCCGAGTGCGTGAGTAAGCCGGAAGTGTGCTGGTCGCATGCGCACGCGGACAACGAGGCCAACACGGGCTACGAGGAGTCCTGCGCGTATCTGCGCTGCGACGACGACGGGATGACCGTCACTGTGTCTAGCCCGGCGCGGCTGCAGCATATCCGGCTGGAGGCCATCAGGCCCCGCCCCAACGCCATCCCGCAGCAGTGCGAAAAGGCCACCTTTGATCGCGCCACCGGATGGCCCGCCGAAGCTGCCGGTAAGTTTAAAATCATTCATTATTTATAATTATAAATAAAGAAATAATGGCAGTATTTGTATATATACGAGTATAATTACCTATGATCCTTGTTTTTATAATTTACAAATATGTAAACCATGCCAGTATTTGTATATTTAATTTATGCCCGTCTATACATATACTTTTTATTTTTCAATATGCACAACAACGAGAACCACTCAGTATAGTACAATCAGAGTGTATACATTGGAAATAACGAATAGCGATATGAGAGTAACCGATAAAATTAATCATACACCACTTCTTTTTCAAGCCCTGAAAGAATTGCATATACAAGGTAGAATTTTATAGAAGGGCGGATAGGGAAAATGTAAAGGTCACAGTGTTCGCAGTAAAATTATCTGCAGCGAATAGCCTGGTTTGAATTGAATTAAACTGTAGACAGCTGTATATAATTCATATGGTTTGCCGGCATATTCACAGTGGTCAATACCGTGGACGTGGGTAACGGCGGCGGTCATGTCCTGCCCAACCTGCCCGATCCCAGCGACGACTACTGGGAACTGCAGCACGCCTTCCTCTACAACAACCAGCCGTCCGTCCAGCGTGCCGACGAGCCGGGTCTGCAGTCCACCCACCCCGGGGGCGTGCTGCATGTGCCGCGCGGCAGTGCCTGCGGCGTGGGCAGCGAAGTCATCTGTCCGACGCAGTACAGTCTGCAGGCGGCCACCGTCGACGTCAAGGAGTACCTCACCGTCACCGGCAATCCCGACATCGAGATCCTCACCCACAAACGCCTGACGTTGCGCTGCCGCGCCACTATCCGCCAACCGCCCGAGGGGTCCTACCTGCCAAAGGTCAAGACGGAGGCTACCCATACCTGCCGACAGACCGATTACCGGTACGTACTTAAATTATTACGTATCAGGTGTTTGTTTATTAATTTACATACAAATCATCGTCAAGAGTTTACTAAAATTTACCAATTCTCTCTAATACATAAATAATATTTTCCATACACGGCCACTGGTATTTATTTTTATTCGACGCACTGCAGAATTGTCGGCATCCAGAAGGATGAGCGCTTCGAAATCACCGTCTCGGAGACGTCGCACACGCACCCTGCCGACAGCCAAGTGGGATGGTTCGTCAACAGCATCACCCTGGGTAAACTGCCCGATGACAAGATCCTTAATAACGCGTAAGTACACCGTTTTCTATAAGAAAGTATAAATATTTTTAATATAACTATATTCTAGTTTCTTTATATATGCATACAGTATATCCAAGCATGTTTTAAAAATGTGTACATTTTCTATATATTTTCATAACATGTATTCTTATATATCTGTATTTACAGTTAATGCATATAAGCATATAATTATATGCAGCTGCTGCATATAAGAATATACAGTCATATATGCAGCCAATGCATATACGTATATGCTGTACAGATATATAGATATGCAGCTGTGCATATATGTAGATATGGTGTAGCTATAATTATCAGCGGAAATTGTGTACAATTTTTGTTACTAAACAGTGCCATCACCCCGGTGGGCGCGGAGATCGACACCGTGGTCGGCTTCAACCTGGCCAACGCTCCGGCCGCCCAGCCGGCCTGGACGCCGTCCACCCTCGCCTACGAATGGTCCAGCGACGTGGTGGTCGTGCCGGGCCAGAGTAACGTGGAGTTGGACTCCACATCCCTGTACTGCGTGCATGAGCCGGTGGCCGGCACGTACGAACTGTGCGACGGCGCCCGGATCTGCACGTAATCTGCCGATCGGCCGTTGCAGCCGTGTATTCGATGACCTTTCATACTTAAATTGATCGCACAGACGCAGTGTATCTGTAGAATGAATTTATTCGCTAACCGGAATGACATTGATGTTCTCAGTTCAAATGCATGACGAATACGCAGGAACGCGTCAATAAAGCCAGATACAATTGTTCGTTGATAAATCACCGATAATATGTTGCTGTTAGTTTGGCAGTTAACGTACGCATACATAGACGGACACGGTCGTGTTCGGAAACGGCTGCTCGTGTCGCGGCTTTATCGCTGAATATTTGACCATATATTGAGAACGATAACACGGTAATAAAGTGAAAGTGCTGTATTACTTCCATACTCCATAGCAAGCAACAACCTCAGCGGAAATGCGTGTATGTAGTATGCTCAAAAGTCCAATTTTGGCCACATTGCGGCGCGGCAGAGAAATTACTGTATGACGCTTTTGATATTCCACAGTGTCTTAAGATACACAGCCACGCTTTCCTGAGTTTCCGCAATAAATAATGATGACCTTTTCTTGCGGTGGTGTTTGGTTTTGATCGTCACAAAATTATCCCGTTAATATAATTATTCGAAATGGTAATACAGTAGAAAAGTCTCTGATTGGTAATATGTCCTGTTTACGCGATGTTTACCTTATTTTCCTCATCGCAACGTAAGGAGTAAAATGCGCAGTACGTGACTGAAGACTGAGGTTACATACTGGCTGGTAAACAAGCGCCGAATAATCTCCGTTATCGAGGGCGTTCAGAAAAAGTTTTAAAGCGCCCCACGAAGCGATTAATTTTTTCGCCCATCGTATCTGTCGCACCAGTTGCCGCTGTTAATTACGTTGTTCCGCTTAATCTTATTAATTTTGAATTCAAAACATCATAGGTACAACCTGCTCGTATAGAAAATTTAATAATTTTAACATTTGGTAATTGATACTGATAAAATATCTTTCATGCAGCTATACTGTGCTTTCATTTGCAGCAGGCAATAAAAAGGTTAAACGCGTCATTTTAAATAATTAAGTTTAATATCCAGACAGCAATAAACTGTGGAAAGGTTGAATCGAACCGATTTTTCCGACACATTTTAACTCCAGTACAAGCAGGTGTAACTAAAAACGCACGGTCTTTGCTGCAACCCATCCAGCCGCATTCAGCCAGTGCGTACCTAAACAACTGCTTAACTGCGTACCAGCTGCTTAAATGATTTAGCATCCCAGAGCAATACGCTAGAAATGATACGGAACACTGAAGGATAATTATTTTAATTTAATTTTCCACAGATATCACCAAGCCTGCAAAACGAGCGCAGTGCATTGTTCTATCACCGTATCTAATCACCCACATATCCGGCATCCCGCACACTCAACTTCCGATTACACGTCCAGCAACAGCAACAGCAACACGCTGTACATGTTACTGCCGAACATGTACAGCGTCTTATCGCACATCCTAATGACTAATCCCTGATTATCCCCTTATCACCGCCAGCAGCACAATACACCTACCCTACACAACCGTCCCTAAAAGCCTCTCATTTACCTGGCATCGGCCGGTTAGCATCGCCATTCATTTCCATTACAGCGCTGCTACACGTAAAGGTCACTTATTTCATTTTCATATTGTATAAACATTATGGCGCGCTGGGTATTCGTTGTGCTGATGGCTGTGGTGGGCCTGGCCCGTGCCACGCAGATCACGGACATGGACCTCGTCGGCCGCTTCAACCCCGACCCGGCCTGCCCGCTGGACGATCCGGCCTGTGTCCGGCCCGAACCCACCGGTGTCAACGTTACCGTGTGGCACGGGGATCGCAGCTGTACGATTGTGTGGCTGTACTGCGAGCTGGACCGCTTTATCGTCACCGTCGACTCGCCGGCGCATCTCACCCATCACTCCTTCTGCGCGCTGGGTTAGTTAGTCGCATTTTATTCCCGGGGTTTTTTTTCCTGGGCCGTTTTATAGCGAACTGGTTTCCGGATTTTTTAGAGCGAATTTCTTCTGAAATTTCTTCTAGGTTCTGATAATACTGTAATGCGTTATACTTATCTGGATTATTTTCCGGTGAATGACTACATATTTTACTTTATCATAATAAATTTTTATTGTAAAATAATAAATAATTCATAAACAATTAATAAACGATAAATAGTTAATACACAAGTTATTGATGACTTAATTAATTACCGACTAAAAGTTCTAATGAGTATATTTAATTAGCAGTTATAATATTTAACCGCTGTAAATGAATTTATGACTGTACGTATTTTAAAGTCGTTAATTAAGCAGCTTGATTGCTCCTCCCACAGGCAACAACCCGACGTCCCGCGAGGACCAGTGCTGCAAGTCGTTGAACGGCGGCGTACTGGGAGACTCCAAAGCCCTCAGTCCGCACCGTAACAAGTATCCCATCCTGTACAGCAGCGCCGGCAGCAAGAACAACTGCGGCACCGCCACCCACGACGTTACCAGCGCCTTTGGCACGCAGATCCAACAGTACACCAACAAGATCGAACTGATTGAATTCCTCGAGCAGAAGCTGCCGCGTCGTCAAGCCCCCTCAGTCAGCCTGATCAGTCACACGCATATCAACATCCAGTGCTGCAATCAGCCGCCCGTGGAGGAGGTGCCGTGTAATCCTCCGGGTACTGAGGAAAACCTGGAAGTCTGCACGGAAAAACAGTTCACGTACGTACACGGCTACTGTAAAATGTCAACGGTGTCGAGTCTGTCGACTGTGCAGTTAACTGCACTATAGATCGGTTTAATAGCCGCTTGCGTCAGCGCATATCTGGGTAGGTGTACATGTACGCCACCGCTCATTGGTCAATCAAGCAAGTACGGCGCTTGACTGCTGGTACGTACAGCGCATATCCGAGAACGTAAATGTACGACGCTCGCGCTCACTGGTCAAGCAAGTGCAATGTTAAGCGCTGCTGACCAGTGAGCGCTGACGTACAGCTGCACATTGGCACAGCGGCTAATTGAGCCGGACGAATGACAGTCGTGTCGTGCTACGGCACAGTATACCGTACGCTCGGTTTTTTAAGTGCCTTGTGGATTGTAGATTTACATGCACATCCAACGAGGACCGCGAGTCCTTCCACTGTTTCGTCGCGCTGAAGGACGGCGAATCCCTGCAAACCGAGGATGTCGGCTACACTCTGGACCGCTGCGTCGCCCGCCCCGTGGGGCAGGCCGGTGATGAGGTCGTGCTGTTTGCTAACGGGTAAAATACATTCAATCGCTCTGTCACTTGTATAATTATTATTATAATATTATTATATATGTATGTATTATACTTATCATTATTATTTTTTTGCAGCGCGGCCGACAGCAATCTGCAGCTGTCCAGCGGTGTCTGCGGTGACTTAAACGGTGATCCAGTGGATAAACGTATCTACAGCATTGAGGGTCCCTGGATTCAGTGGGGCGCGGATACCTGTGATCTGCACCGCGTGGAAGTAGACTGCACTGTTAAAGTGGTGCCTAGGGCCTCTTTACCGCCGCTGCGGAATGATCCGGATTTCTGCCGGTCACCGCCTTTCTATGTAGCATCGCGGGCCGGTTTCTTCCAGCCCGGCAAACTCACCGTGGTTAATTAACAGAGAGGATGCTATTATTATCTTTTATGAGAAAGCGCTTGTTCTGTGCTTGTTTGTTTGTCCGGCTGTGAACGGGCTCTGATCACGCGATCGCGCACACAAACCTTACGAGCTGTACAATTATATGCGGTTGGCTATTACTGCCAGTAAAATGAATAAAATTACCGATGCGATGCGTTAGCTGGATTTCCGGTGCTTATCTGCATGACTCTGTACGCTCGCTTCTGGCGATGATAAGATATTGGTGTCAAACACATCGCGAATTCCTGTGCGCACTCGAATTTTGGCTTCCGGTAATAAAATTGCCGGTTGCAGCGAGATTACCGGACAATGATACGATAAGGTTCGTTTACAGTGTAATACGTAGAAAGTTTTCCAAGTGTTGGAAGTAATTTTATTCCTATCCATTTTTTCTTATTCCAGATTTAAATGTTTACGAAACCTGACACTTTGCCAGTGAAAACCGTAAATTCTTCGGAACCGGTAGAAAAAAATACAAATGCTGTATACCAATCAATAGGAAGAAAAAGTTCAAACAAATTCATATTAACCGATCAAAACTCCCGATGTTTAGATGAAAACGGCTCACGCCGGCTGTCAGAAGTAGAATCATTGCCTCGTTGACAGACCATGTGTTTACGGACATTGATGAGCCAGCCAGAACTACAGCGTTTTCTGCTTGTTCAAATAATTATTTTTCATAATCGGGCGTAAGCCGCGTAACGACCATGTCGTCTGTTATCAGGTGGCCATTCTACACGCTGTCGCTATGGCCGAACACCCACTGGTGGCGATTGCAGCGACATCAGGGACAATGAGCGTTGTATGCTGTGTTTCTCGATTGAAATCTGTAGTTGCGAGTGAAAATCAGCACACTGTACACCGACACTACAGATACATAAGTGATTCAAATTTGGATGAATTATTACAGAAGACCTTAGACCTGAATAGACCTTTCTTGTCACCACTACTTGCCCGGCTAAATGGCTAAGCAAGATGGTCAGCTAACCGGGTACTTTATCGTAGCTAGATAAACCACCACACTGCGGATGACAGTACAAGGCCGTCGACGTTATGACCTTTGTACGGCAGTGCGATACTATTATGACACGACACGTCGCGTGAATAAACACTAGAACTGCCAGTCTACTCCGCAGTCCGCAGTGCAAGGATACGAACGGAAAGTTCTCGAACAACAACCATGACTAAACCAACAGTCCACTGTTTTCGCCATTTTGATCACTGGCTTCGTTCGCAGTTCTCTTAATAATTTAAAAGAAATTATTCACATACGCTGACAAACACCAAGCCGGCGAACAGTATAATAAGAAAAATAAACAATAATAAAATAACACCATATGTACATGTTGTGCGCAGGTTTCGATAATAATTTGATTTTGATTTTTGTTATACACTTTTTATTTTTATCTGTCATAATAATGTTGTTGTTTTTGCTATTTTGACTGCCGACAACGACAGACCATCGATGTCTTGCTAACCCAAAAAATAAAGTAAACATGCCGAACTCATTTTTTGGATAAAGCTGTATAGAAAGGTCAATCCATTAGTTATATGAACGAATTTCCCCAACGCTGCGGCCGTCTTTCATCGCACGCGCCAACATTGTCCCTTATCGGCGTTAATAAAACAACAATGACGCTCATTGTCCCGTGTTGTGTAGCGTGCGTATCCTGCGTTTATTACAGCCAAGGTCATGATCTTTTTATCAGCGTCATTGTCTGAACATTCCTCGCTTCCGTGCGCCAACAGCGTAGGTGCAACCGGAAACCCATTGTCATAACACTAATTAAACGCAAATATCGGCACAATTAACACTGTGTAATTCTGCACTCTGCTCAGTCACACACATTGCGCAGAGAATTCAATCAGCCGAAGTTCGAATAAACAATTCAGGTAGCTCATTGTTATCGGGATACACGTTAACGGCGTCGCGTGCCGCTGGACATTACAGCGCGCCAATAAAACGAATGAAGAAACGGGTAATCTAATCATAAAGAACGCGTGAAGGTTACGTAAACAGCGCATTGTGCGTTGTGTGCCGGATGCAGCCAGCATTGTCAGTGCTCGCCGGACAATAACGGGAAGGTGACCTTTAGGAAGATAACAGTGCGTCATTCACGATGCCGGCGCCGTTTAATCGTCATTTGGCAGCGGTTGACGGGATGCCGCGCGGTGGGCGATTAACAGCGGAAGTGAATTGTTACGGAAAACATTGGCAATGGCGATTGCGCGGCACCATTTCCGCTCCTGTTTCCGTGGCATTGCGTTAATAATCATATCGTTCCGTGCAAACGTCCTGGCGTCATCGGAAGGATGATGATTCAGTCGGTGTTAATTATATTTGGCTCGATTGGACTTTGAAGCGTATAACTCAAAAGTGACCTTTATCGGATGATCGTCAAATTAAGCCGCTATGCTGTCAATATTAACGATTATCGTAACTACAAAAATATTTCAAAAAAGACAACGAAAAAGACAGCAGTGAATTGTCGGTCGTCACGTTAGTACATTATACGTATATAAATTTTTTAACAGTGAGACGCGGACTTTTGTCCGTGTTAGCACTGGCGTTCGACGACTCGCATGGTGTCTGGTTACATGGGGAAAAACGTGCAAATATACAAGACGGTATTATTGATGTTGAACATGACAGATCACTGTGTTACGCAGCACAGCAGAATTTTTTTTTATGGATCGTAATCGGCTGATGTGGGTTCTGTAACGATATGGCGTTCATAATACCGAACCTTACACTACCATTATTGTACAGACCTCGACAACAAACAAACTCAGCTGACACCGGCAGTTTTTTCTCTCCATATAAAATAAATGAAGCGCGCACAATCCAGACGAGAAAACTAACCGGTTACACGCTAGCAAAAAGAACTGAAGATGATCGGTGTAATTTTGAGTGTTTTTTTAACCGCGGCAGCGTCGACACGCGCGCAGTCCATACAGTGTCCCGATATTCCGCTGGATGTTCCGGGTCAACCGGTCGACGTCACCAAAGTAATCACGCTAGTGATTCTTTCTTAATTTCCGTTTAAATAAAATCTTCTTGTTTTATTTATATTTTATATTTGGATTTTTATAAAAGCCCGCATATTATATTTTTATATATATAATTTTTTATTATTAATTATGCCATTTTTAAAGAGTATGTATATTTAATATATTATTTTATTTCGGTAAATAAATATAATACATTATATTACTCGTATTATATTATTATATTAATTATATTATTTTATTTTATGTAGGTAAATAAATATATAAATAAATTGTGAACTTCTGCTGGAAAATTGCAGGCAGCGGGAATCTGGTACGAGTACATGTACCGCAACGGCCCGGTGGGCAATGATCCCTCGGGCGTGAATGTTTTCATGAACGCCACCATCCTGGGACCGACGCCCGGGACGCCGCCGGGCAGTTCCTACTTCGTCACGTGGATCTACAACATGTTCGCCAACATCCCGGGTGCCGCCGATCCCCTGATGTGTATCAACTTCCCGCAGCAGGGCAACTACTCGTCCAACGGCCACCGGACGGTCCTCGCCCAGATCGGCGGACCCACGGCGCCGCTCGGTATGCAAAAAGGTCCTTTGAACCGGAAACCAACAAAATAGAACCGATTTAGAATCCCGGTTTTTATTTGGAGATTTTCTAACGTATATGATTAATTTAACAAGTATATTTTACTGCTTATTTTATTTGACTTCGTATCTGGTATATCATTACTGATTAACTATTCATTTTGTACTAGTTTATTATTCTGTTTCTTTACGACATATATTTTATTTTATTTTTATTTTATTTAATTATTTCCTCATAATTTTTTAATTTTCTATTTAATTTAATATAATCTTCAAGTTTTTTTTTCCATTTTTGTTGTGTTTTTAGAGAACTACACATATATTAATCTGTACACGGATTATAACCTGGTGCAACTGCTGTACCGCTGCGAGACCGCCAACCGGGACGGGCGCCGGTGCGACCAGCCGTTCTTCTGGATAATCACCCGCATTCGGCCTCCGCTGTTAACCAGCGAGCAGAAGCGCTACATGGAGAATCTGGCTAATTATTATTTCGCGCAGATCTGCCGGCGTTTCAGCGATCTGAGCCCGACCACGTGGGATCTGACGACCAACTTCCCGGTGTGCAATACCGGCGCCAACAACACCCCACCCCTTTCGGCCATCTTCCTCGCCTCGCTACCACGAAACTAATTATTGGCTAAATGTCATTTAAGTTAATGTATTCGTTATTTCTTTGATTTATGACCGTGGTACATCCGGCGAATATTGATAATCCGTAAATGGGAGCGGTGTAACTTTTATGGCTGATATTCTATGACTATCCCCTGAGGCATTCCTTTTGTACATACGAAATATTATGTGTATTTGTTTACAACCGGAAACAGCAGAGTTTATCGGCACAGTTCAACCAGCTTGTGCGCAGAATTGTCAACCCTAATAAATTCATCATTATTACGGATTTCGGATGGAATTCATTTTTGACGATATATTATTTGCGATAATTTCCGGAAATCCCCACGTGCGTCACCGGCTGCTGCTGACTCGTCCAAGGTTATTGTCTGGTTGTTCGAGTACTGTGGGTCCGGAATGTGAACTGGACACTGACAGGAGTTTTCACGTATTTCCGATAAGTTCTGCGCCGGTCGATATCTTTATGGCGCTGTTTGTCATTTTCCGAGGAAGGGCTTATCGTAAAGGTCACCTTGATTGCGGCATGCCGCGGTGATTAGGCAGGTGTACGACACGAAAAGGGGACAGGCCGAGGGGAAACTGCATTTTGATCAACATGACAATGGCCTAATTAAGCGGACGCATATATGTGCGGGACAATTATCTGCTATCTTCGCAGAATGTTGTTGGCGCAGGAAATGCGATAAGATAGTATTATACGCTGGGTAGCGTTTACCGGTGGAAGTTCCAGTTGACATATTACGGCAATCATTGGTTTCGTAAGAAAAGGAACCGCCGTAGCAGCGGAGGAAAGGCCTGCCGCTGTCGCAGTGGTCTCCGCCTTTGGACGTCGGAATGTACAGTTTCTTCTGCATGGAAAGAATGTAGAAACCATTATAACTTGCGCTATATACGAGCAGCAGTTTCTCATGCAGTCTTACCGAACACCAGCATGCGTTTTGTGACATTTCGGCGACCGGAAGCTTCGTGAAGTTACCGCGGAAACCCGGTGTGCGGCCTTTTACGATTTGCGGGAATTAGAGAAAATGTAGCAGCCATTTCGGGCGTTTGCAGAACACGAATGGCACTAACGATTTTGGACATTATTTCATTGTTTAAAATTTCCTCGTTTTTATATGTTAGTGTAAATCTAGATCTGCGCATGCGTAGCGGAACTATAGAAGGTATCAAACGCCGCAACTCCAGAGAATTAATTCAACATGTCGCAAACATAGTTTTCGTATGTATGTTTTTTTATTATTTAGATTTTTTAATTTTTATTATGTGGACGTATTTGTACATATGCGGATTATATGCGGAGTTTCTTAAATATAAAGGTCACACATACAACAACCGCCTACAGGTACCTGGGTTCCAAAGTCCAATAGACCTCCGTGAGTTTTCAATCCCACGTTGTTCTATTAACGTGAACGATGACTTGTTCGTTGGCTACCGATTTCCTACGCTGTGCTAAGATTTTAATAAAATTTTTGTATATAATTTTTTTTTATTATTTTGTCAATGTGCGTAAATATTAGCGCATATGTATATGCGAGCCGAAATGATCGGGACCGTCTAATGTGCTGACGCTTTTCCAGTTACCTATGCTTAGCTTCTCGGTGGTTATCGTTGCAGCACTCTGCTTTTGACGTCCGATTACAGCAGCTACTGTTTGGTCCAAATTATTCGATCGGCAACGGATGTACATTTGAACAATCGCTACCAATCTAATCGCTAGCATGCGTTCGTCTTGCTGGTGAAAAGCAGCGCGACCGAGCTACTGCCGACATTCATGGTCATACAACGCAACCGGAAGTGATCTACTACATACAGTAATCATTTCTGCCATGTTTTTGTTATAATTTCCCAGTGATCAAGTGAACCATAACCACGGGACTCCCTCGCTTATAACAGTCGCTCAACAGGTTTTTACGTACAATTGAACGCGCAACCCGGCAAATAATTTTCAACACCGGAAAAACTGAAAATTGTGCAATGTTCCGCTTGCGCGGGAACATGAGAATGACGACAGTGTAACACAGGAAAATTTAGTTTTATTATCAACCATAGAAGGTCGGACTGCACTGGGCGGCCGGCAATGGTCCCGCCCACCGCCACCCGGCAGCGGCCGGCGGTGGCCGTGTCGCTGGCATCACAGTACGACAGCCGGCACGTCATCCACGACTTCAACCGGCCCCGCAGCAGCGCGTCCACATCCACGTTCTGGCTGCCCAGGGTGAAGGACTGGATGCTGCCTTCGTAGGAGGGCACGTTGTCGACCACCTTCTTCGTCAGGCGCAGCTGCACTTGACAACCGGCTTGGGTCAGTTGGCTGTAAAGTGCAAACGGGTTACGATCGAGCCGGTACTGCGAAAGCATGTGCCAAGAATGTTTTCATTACGCAAAAACGAGCTACTAAAGACACTACAGCATGTACGATGTAATGATTGTAAATACTTCGCAACAGCAATAGAGCGTATTTAAAACTACCTGAATTGCTTATAAAAAAAGTTACTTGACTTTAATTTATTTTAATCAGTTAAACTTACGTTACTTACCTCATAATAGAAAAGAACCGCTGATAGTTAAAAAAATGTATTAATAAAACTGTTTACTAAAAAATCACTAAAACGTTTTAAAAAAGTTTACTGGTTCTTTGTATATAACCTAAATTACAGAACAATTATTTGACTAACCAAAAAAACCCATAAAACGGTAACCAAAGAAAAAATTTAGAAGAAGTTACAGCTTACTAACACAGGAACGTACGTATTGAAAAATTAAAAATTCCCATAAGAATTTACAAGGCCCTTGAACGGTAGGAAATACAGCGATAAGTGCACGTACCCATTCTCCACCAGCACAATCTTCTCGATTCCCGCCGCCAGATGCGTCTCCGCCTCGCAGTAATCGATATCCATGGACACGCGGGGATCCTTCCCGAAGGCCTTGTTGTCGGCGGTGGGCTGGACGACAATGCTGCGTCCGCGGGCCCGCACCTTCTCATTGACGTCATAACAACACTGACAACTGCATAAGAAAACAAGAAAACGTAAGAAAAACATGAGAAAACACAAGAAAGCAAAGAGATAGCATGTATATCATGTTCTACCGCTACAACGACGAAAGGTCACCGCGACCTACATGTTGACGTGGACGTTGACATGCCCGTTGAAGGGACCGTCGACGGAGGTCAGCAGCTCGCTGACCACCAGTTCATGGCCGGACACGGCCACTACGAAGCAGAAGCCGACGGCCGCTAAGACAACGTACGCGAACGAAGCCATATTAGTCTACGAATGCGGGAGAAAAATAAAAATTCTTAAGGAAATGGCAACGCGACACGACGGTGTGGAGAGTGGACTAATATAGCGTGGTATGGAGTGGCGAATCTTAAGCCCGGTTTTGCCAGCAGCAGCAGCTTATCAGACGGGTTCTTATCGGTAACGATAAGCCAGTGGGGATGTGCAATTGTCCGGGAGTTTACGGATCCTGGAATGACGCGGGCAATTAACGAATGAATCAGCCGGAAACGCTTGATTACCGGCAGCGCTGATTGGCCGGAAGAATCTAATCAACAGACATACAGCGCCGTTAAGGCAGTGCACGTGATAAGCGCCGAAGAATAGTAGCCTCGCACATAAGACACAGCAGTCGGGTGTTCAGTGTGTAGCAGTTTGAGTTCTGGCGAGGAAATCCATTTTCTCCACTTGTTATTTCTCGCATTGCAACGATGTACACGCTGTTCGTGGTGGCGGTGGCCTGTATTGCGGCCGTCGCCGGTCAAGCGGATCCGCTGTGCCCGCCGGTCAATCAGCCGGTCAATCTGAATAATGAGGACCACAGTCAGCAGACGGTCTGCCATGATTACGGCCGCATCCGGACGGATTTCAAACTGACTTGCGACTGGGAGAATTATGATTTTAAACTGGAGCTGGTGTCGACCGGCGCCCTGCTGGCGGCCGACATGACGCCCCAGGATCCCAGTGTCCACATTAATACCGGCCGCGGCTTCACCGGCAACGAGAAGATCATCGTACGTTGTTTTATAAGAATGTTTAACAAACAAAACTAATTAATTACAATATTATAATTAGAGCTCAAACGAGTGGTTTCGTAATAAATAAAAAAATATAAAATTTAACACAGCTGTTAATGGTTTCACAATTAATTATTTAAACAAATTACTATAATTATGGCCGAAATGGTTAGCTTCGTTGTATCATCGTCGCGGTTATTGCACAGGATATCTCTTCGCGGCATATAATCAAAGTTTTTTGTGTATTATTTATTTTTTTGTATTAATACGTGTACGGTATTTTTTAAAAAAATTTTTTTGCGAAAAACCATACAAAATAATATTATGCTGTTATGATGAAGATACGTATGACACAATAATAATTATAATTTGTACATAAGGGCGCCGATGAAGTTTCGCCGCAGCTAAATGGTAAAATAGAAAACATTTGTTTAATGGACGGAATAAATGTAGGTGCCACTGACGGCGGATGAGAAGAGCAGCTGTCCCAATCCCAACGTCATCGGCAGTCGCAGCCAGCAGATCCCCTTCGTCCAGCGCACACCGCAGCTCAGCGCCAGCTCCCGGCTGGAATTCGTCAACGGTAACCTGTACTATAAGACCTCCGTGGAGGTCGTGGAGACGTACGATACGCAGAGCTGTCAGGCTCGCGAGAAATACCGTACCCGCGTTAATCTGGAGTGCTGTCTGCTGCGCGAGACCCACCCCGAGGAAATCATCCCTCCCATCCACGATTACTGCAACCTGACCTACTGCCAGTAAGTCATATGGGCACAGATACCCGGCTTGACCGCCAACTTCCGGTAGATAATCGCTCATTCTTTTATATGCACCCATATCTGCACATATATATTATATAATATATTTAACGTAAAAAAATAACAAATTATATAAAATAAAAATGTATACAAAATCAAATAGAAAATATTAAAAGATGTAATTGAAAAAAAATAATTTCTCTACTGCCGATGACCTTTATCAGCAATACAGCGCCGGTATCGTAACGTGTGCAGTGCATGTGTAACGGTTGCCATGTGTGATGATAGGGATCCCGGTGAATGGACGTGCGAGTGCGTGTTCGACCAGCTCAGCGGCGCCTGGGTCCTCTCCTGCCTGCCCAAGAGCGGCTACCTATGGAGCCAGCTGCTCAGTGCCGGTCTGTCTTTCCAGGCCTCGCATCTCCAGGCCTTCCCGCTCTCCGCCCAGGCCCAAGCCGGCGTGACACCCTCACCGCAGTTGACCTTTATCCGTGACGCCGTGCCCATTAGTGTGTAAGTTGACCATTACGCCGAGTACACTACATCAAAAGTATCAGTTTATAGTACATCCAAAAGCAAGACAGATTAAATACATACAAAATAGTGGGAAAATTAGTGAAGTTTGTAGTTGTACGACTTCCCAGGATGCACAAAATGATAAATCTGAAAATAATAATCGCTTGGCGTTGCTGACCTTTATTAGCGTTACAACCCGAATCCCTGAACCGTTATGACAATTTTTCCATTATTAATATGATAAAAATATATGCATTATTTATTTAATTTATATTTGTATATTTATATATATATATATTTATATAGGTATACTCAAATATTTTAATATATATATATATATTATTATATATTTATTTATATATTTTGTTTATGTGTTGTTATATATATTATGTATATTTATTTTATTAGGTATATATTTTTATATAAAATAAAGATATATATATGTATTGTTTATTTAATTTATATTTACATACGTATACATATTTTTATCCATAATATTTATTTAATTTTTATATATTGTATATAAGTAATTAAACAGAAAACGACAGTCACTATCTGGCTCTGTAGATCACCGGAACTGGAATTCGGTCAGCTGAACACGGGGGCCCGCAATCCGCCGGAGCCCTGGCGACGGGCCTACACCGTCAATCCCTTCGCCTTCCACAGTGACCACGAGACGGGGGTGGTGATGTTCCGCGCCCTGCTGCAGTTCTGCCGGGAGACCTCCGTGGATCCCCGCTTCCCCAGCTGCGCACCGCCCCGCTATAAGACCGTCAAGGGTTAACGCAGCGATCTGTTCCATATAGCCTCTGATTGTTGAGCACTGTATAACTTTATCGCACACTCTGTATGACATGGATAATATGCAGTCATGAATGTAATGGTCAATGCGCCAAGTGCACTTGTGAACACACAATTGTCACGAATGATCCGTTGATAAGACAATAAATTTGCGGCAAAATATGCCGGAATGGACTGATAACGTTATCCGTTGTATTGTGAATGAATATTTTCCCTATATGCGGGCACGTGGCACTTTACCCCCGGTATCCTTATACGTACGTTCATGACCTTTAAAATTGCCTTTTTTAATTTACCGTACAGCACTATCATACTACTGACTCGCACGTACAATAAAAATAAAAAAATCAAAAACCAATAATAAAATAATTATTAGCAAAAACTTAAAAATCAGAAACTGGCACTAGTTACAAATACACTTTATCAAAAACTACCGTAGCACTAATTACAGCGGTTGCTCAGTAAAAAATCGTAATAAATTGCTACTGCGTAAATCGTAATAAAAATCGTAATAAAATTGCTACTGCCGAAGCAAATAATTTTGAGAACTGGTAATGTACGCTAGCGCCGGGAAATTTTCAAATACATGCACTACATTAATTACTGGAAAACACAGGATAACATAAATACTTCAGTACTTTTTCCGGTATTGGTTCCCCGTCTGTTAGTCGGCAAGTCTCTTAATAATAATGTCATGTAATTCGTTATAAAATGAATAAATTATAAATGGAATAAACAGTTTTACCTGGGAACTTGCCGTTAATAATATGATTTAATATAAAAAATTAAATATCTATATCATAATTTAGGTTAACGTGAAGGTCGGACACCGGAAGTGGGCGGCGGAGAACCCGGCAGACCGCGGGAAAGCAAAAACTATTCTCGCCAATACAACGCGTCCAACATCAGTCATAGCATTTTATTATCTATCACATCCACTGCTTCTCAACCCGATAACACCGGTTAACAAATGGCGTTTATGTACTGATAGGAATATCCGTCTTCTGCACCTACTCGATAAAGCCCCACCGTGTCCGTTTAACGTGCATTGTCTCCCGCATCAGCCAGCTATCACTGATAAGGCGTCCTCCATTACATCGATAATTATATGGCTGACTAACTGCCAGTGCCTAAACAGTTTTTAAGCATTGCTACCTTCGCGCTGATCACGGCAGTGTCAATAATAGCATTCGTGTGCAGTACAGGCCAAGGTGTTGTAATTAGTTTTATACATAGTTTAATAGGAAAATGTGGGCCCGCGTTATTGCCATGACCTTTATGGTGGCGGCGGTCAGTGCTGCGGCCGATCTGCGTCTGTTGGGCGTGCAGACCCGCTCCTGCCCGGTCAGCGGCTGTCCCGCCGGATCCGAGACGGCCAACAGCAACAGCGTCGATATTAAATACGGAGTGAAGAATGTCCCGCAAATCGGATCAACTTTCACGGTACGACAACAGTGCATTGATTGCTACGGATGCTTTTAACAGGAAACAATCATACCATATGTACAGCTACTGTATATTCGCCTGCAATCTCTCCATACATTCACAATCTCGTTTACTTTAATTACCCAATTATAATTTATTTATTAACAATACTGTCTGGAATTATTCTTTACTAAATTACGGTGTGCAATTATTCATTAGTCATTACTAAAATTCAGTTGATTTTTGTACATTGCGTTCCCTTGTCCGGAATCACGTCCAATTTAATTAAAACACTGAATTTTAAATTTTCAAGATGTTTGAAACATTTTCAGTTTTTCAGTTTTTTTCGTTAAATCATGGATACTCGTACAGCTGTCATCCGGCAGTAATTGCATGATTCTTAATTTATTTATACTTTATTTGAAATTATGGTATATCTTTACTCGTTATTTTACATTAATATTGCATTAGTATTGCATTTTTAAAAAAATTCTTTACTTTATTAAAAAAAAACGGTATATTTTTACAGGCGACATACAACGAAGACGGTAGCGCGACCATCAGTGTGTCAAGCGTCAACTGGCCGGCCGGCACCATCACCCGCCTCGTCGTCGGCAACGGCGGCGCCGGCTGCGAGACCGTGGGCACCAGCCTGACGGTGACCTTTGACAAATGCGGCATCCAGCAGTACTTCGGGCTGGATAAAGTGCAGCGCCGCGTCGTGGTGAAACTGTGCCAGCGCTTCCCAGCCACCAGCAGCAACGGGGTGACCGTCTACTTCCCGGGTAACCGCGACGTCACCGTCGACTTCCACCTGGCGCCGCGCAATCCCACCAATATACATCCCATTGAGCCGGAGGTCCTCTGGAAGTCAGAGAGACTGGCGCAGTGCACCGTCCTCACACACAAGTACGTTCACGAGAATAGCAGCGATCCTACACTAAGCCATAATGAAATAATTTTATTTTAACCCATAATTTATTTTCTTCCTTTTATTACTGCTTATTTGCTATTAATAAATTATAATACACACATAGAAGCTTGTTTATGAAAATTGTTAATCAAAATCCTCCTTTTATTTATATCATTATTACTATCGCTTTTTACTGTATATTGCGTATTCTAGCATTCTTTAAAGACTATTTTATTATACAAATGAACACCGGTTAAACACTAATTCACGCAGTACTTGTACACATGATACGCTTTATCCAGTTTCTTACCGATACAAAAAACGTTACCTGAGCACAAGCAGCATTACATCGCATTAAAGCAGTACTGATTCTCTGCTTCTATTAGTACTAATACTTTATTCATCAATAACACATTTGCTGATTATAGTATCACCGCCTTCCGCACCGTCAAGGGCTCGGAATCCTGGTTCTTCAGCGTGGAAGCCGGCAACTACGACCCCGCCCAGCTGGGTGTCGGTTTCTCCCTGGAGACCTGCATCCTGCGGCCGTATCTGGCTGGCGAATCAGCGCCGACTCGCACTGAAGAATACTGGCTGACCATCATCAAGAACGGGTAAGGATATCGCACAGTGCGCACTTTTATACTATGGATGTCTGACAGTTCGGTTGTGTTACAGGCGTGTCCATTCTGACTTTTTGCCCAATCCCGTCAGCCCGCACTATAAAGTCAACGTCGTCCAGGGCCAGAAGTACGAAGTGGCCACGAAGCGAGTGTACAGCAATGCGCTCGAGGAAACTAAGGTATGTACAATATTAACGATTACAGTAGCATGACACAGACATAACGTCACACACACACACACTGTGCAGACAGACTTACAAATAGCCGTGTAGCCACTGTCCAGGCAGAGTTACAAATAGCCGTGTAGCACTGTCCAGGCAGGCTGGTATTTAGCCGCGTACGATTCACATAGTGCACTTGTACGTCGTTCTGCACGCTGATTGGTCAGCTGTGTCAACAGTGTCCAGCGCTGTAATCCATGTCGCTGTGCATATTGTCAACGATGATAACATCAAATCAACCAGATTTTTTTGCAATATACTCGTACTTCTACACCAAATTAAACCGGAATTTATTGTACTGCAGTTGGCCGCTGTCGCGCCCGAGATCGAATGCCACGTCTGTCTGTGTGATCCGCTGAGCAGCTGCCCGGACACCCTGCCCATCGTATCCGCCTCACCCTGTACGTATTAATGGTCCCGGTATCCAAGCGATTTGCCTTGCTATATCTGTGCAATTCTGTTTGCAGTGAGACGTGTTAATAACGCCGAAGAGGCCTGGGTACCCCGCTTCCGCGTCCTACCGCCCCTGGAGAACGGTCAGCGTTCGGAGAAGCTGCGCGCTGGACCTGTTAACGTGGTGCCGGCCCGCCGCAAGCAGATGCAGCTGTAAACGTCCACACAACCGGCAAACGGAGAAAGGGGAAATATCACATAGATTTCGAGAATTTTCATATGCGCCAAAAATGCTAACACGTGAATTATGTGCCAGAGCTAGTGACGATGCGTTTAACACAAACCCGAATATCTGGTTGTACACAACGCCAGTGAAAAAATACCATGTTGGGTACATCGTGACATGAGCGAGAAAACAGGAAATAAATTTATGGATGTTGTGTAGCTGCACGAAGCAGTGTAACCAAGATCGCTAAGTATTTTTAATGAAGAAAGTGCTTAATTATCGTGTGTACGGTACATTTACGACCAGAGCATTTTAATAGAATAATTATGTACTTATACATACGCACGATTGCCGACTTTGTGTAACAACCATAATCGTAACCGATGCTGACGTCTGCGTGCAGTTATTCCTTTTTGTTTATTACTGAAATAGTTAGCGTGGAAATATACAATATGATATCGTAGTGTTGGGTGTTTCAGACTTTCAGTAATACCATGTAGTGGTTTGCCCCGGGACTACACTAATCCCTTATACATGGGGCTCATAATTATGATGATAATTATATTTCTTATAAGAATAATACGAAACGAACGAAAACCGAGTCACCTTTCCCACTTTCTTCATCAAAATAACATCCAAAACAGCATTTTATTAAAAGTAGCCAAAATCATCACAAGGCAACTGATTAGTGAACATTCATTCTAATACAGAATTCTATGAAGAAGTACAGTAATATCATCAGCAGCGCTACACGACCCCTTTTTCCGGGATAAAAAAAATAAGAATAGTGGTTAATAAAATTCATAAAAAAATATGAGCAACAATTTCGGAGATTAATATTCCATCACAATGTTAGTAAGATCAACAAAAATAATACCATTCCATCGGTAAATCGCCCATCCATCGGCACTCTCATTCCGCATCCTTTTCCATAGGATCATACAGATGCTCCGTTCCAAAGTCGTCTTCTTCCTCTTCTTCCCCTTCGAGACCAGGAACTGGCAGGTCAGCAAGTGGATCGGGCGCGTTATCCTGTACAGGAGCATTAGCAGCCGCTTCTTCCTGAATAGGATTTTCGTGTTCACGAGGATCGACGCCGTGCAGCTGCGTCAGCGTCCATCTCGTCCAGCATGGAAGTTTGTCATGATAGATATAATACATAGCATCAAGTTTCTCGCGGATTGTTTCGGTTTCCTTGCTCGCAGAAACGTAGTAGGATGGCACGGTCCAGCAGGATGAGAAACGGCAAGAGAAGATTCAACGAAACACTGACAGGTGGCGCTGGCGGTCCACTAATAGGCAGCTGATGAGCAAACTGGTGAATCCGGTTACCTGAGACTGGAGCCGCAGCCCGATATCCTGAATTAGGAGCAACCGCAGATGATCCTGGAATAGGAGGCAGGGGAAATCCTGGTGGTGTAGGATCGTTGACAACGCCAGGTGGTGGAGCACTGACGCGAATTTGCCCACCACGATTTGCACCCGGTCGAGTCTGCGCAGGCACGACGGTGTAGCGGACTCCTGGCGGTGGGCGCTCGGTTTCAATGTGATAACCGGGAATGTAATCACCATCAGAATCCGGCTCATTTTCCACCACATATTCCACCAAGGGTTCCTGAATAGGAGGCGGCAAACGCTGCGGAGTGCCAGACGCAGACGTCCATCCAGGCTGATCCACAGTCACAGGCCCACGTGACGTGCTGACTCCCTCATTCACGGCAAATCCTACAAAGGAAGGACGACCAACAGATCCTGAAGAGGAATTACCGTTGCCCGAGTAGGAAGATCGGCCGTAATGCTGGTAACGAGCGGGCAGACGGGGAATAATTGAGCGCATCCCTGGCGTCAACGCATCGAAATGCCGATCATCCATCAGTTCGACGTAGGCATCGGCGAACCCAAAACAAGCATTCCGAAAAACACGGCGAGTTTCCACTGAAACTCGCGCCACATCCTCTGCAGGAAAACTGAAATGCTGGGGATCGTAGCAACCCAGATCATCACGCGCCATTTTGCAACAAAATAAAAAAAATTCAAGGTTCTCGACTGGTAGAAATTTGAAATGCGGCGTACTCAAATTAGCGCAGTCACGCCGGCATGTTTTACCATGCAACCACTGGCGCCTCCTATTAAAGGAAAACGGACCAATCACCACAGACTGGCAAATTCCACTCACGGAACCACTGATACGGGCGGTTGGAGCGCGAATAAGTTTTGACTCGCCACCGTACGAAGTTTTCACGCATTCTTTTCAAGAACGAACAAACCAAACGCAAAACAGTTACCCCTTTTTCCGTAATAATAATAATAATAAAAGATGAATCATGATTTTCTGAATAGAACAACTTTCTCAAATTCAGAAATAAGAACCACTGGACTGATGACAGAAATACCGTTGTACCTGACTATTCAGATAAGGAATTCCATATGTGGAAAAATTCTGCCAATAAATATGCCATTCTTCCATATTAATTTGATTTGGGGACATTCCTACTTGCAGGATATAACGAAACATGTATGAATCAAAGAAAGTCAACTGTTCCACAGTGAGATTCCGAGGAAACCGTAATCCCTGGAGCCCATAACAAAGATAAAATTCAATAATTTCATTTCTTGAATTTAGAAAATATTCGACGGGCGCATTTCTAAAGGGGCGCACATTATCCGTACGTTCTGCATAGAAGAAAATCACCGAGCGAATAAATCGTATTGCTTCTAAATATAGAAATCGACGCTCACTATCCCATAAATAATGGGAAATCAAGTCTATTAAACGATAACCCGCAATAATCCACGTATCCAAATAAACATTAGGAAGCATAATGTACGAGACAAATCCTTAATAGGAATGTATGATGAATTTTCATAAATTAATTTTAACCACACACTGATACCGCTTTGGCGCTGTGGTGATGCGGCCTGAACGACTGGTAAATGGCAAAATGTCTACAGTCTTTTTCCGGTACTGACGCTTCGCCGCTGGCTTCGCTGGCAAGGCGGGATTATCTGACGGCAGATCTAGTGCTGGAATGTCAAGGTCAGTGGCTTCGACTGGCTCCGTATCTTTTGGCACATCAGCAATCGGCTGCGAATCCGGCTGTACATTTTCTAATTCAGAATTATCATTCCTAATAATTTCAGGAATTTCGCCAGATGGCCTTGGATAAAAAGGCTCTATTCTACTGACGTTATAATTATCAACTTTCTGACGGAAAGAATGCAACAACTGGAGTTTATAGACATTTTATTTATTCGTTCTAAGACTTTATACGGCCCAGAATACTTTTGCCGCAATTTATCGGCTTTCTTAACCACGTGCGCAAATTCTCGTACCTTTACCAGGTCACCTACAGAGAACTCAACTTTTCGACGATTTACATCGGTCGCGGCGGCATTCTTATCCTGACGTATACCAATAAGCGCGCGCGCAACTTCATACGCTTCTTGAAAGAAATCCATTAATTTCTGAGAATAATCAGATAAATTCAGATATGTACTGTCTTCCACAGATTTAATAATCGTATCTACTGGAAGTTCATTCTCACGACCGAACATTAATTTAAACGGAGACATCTTCGTGACGTCGTGTTCCGTAGAATTATGCGCGGATGCGATAAATGAGAGATATTGATCCCAATCACGCTGGTCGTCTGACACATACATGGCCATTCCTTCAGCCAAAGGAGACATCTGTCTTTCTACTTGAGAATTTCCCTGCGGATGGTACGCGGTTGTTCGAAGCTGACTAACACCGATTAACTTGTTAATCTCATATAGCAAATTATTTCTAAAATGCTTTCCTCGGTCAGTCAATAAGCGCTTAGGAGTACCAAACATCAATATTACATTCTGTACGTAGAATTTTGCTACTTCAGCCGCTGATTGATCTTTTAACGTTCCAGCCCATATGTACTTAGTTAAGGCATCCGTTACAACACAAGCGTATTTATTGCCCAATCCTGATACAGGAAACGGACCTAATAAATCCATGTACACAGTACACATTGGTCCTTCTACAGGAAGATGTTGCAAATAACCTGACATAGGTTGACGAGTAACTTTCCTCATCTGGCATTGTGGACAAGTCTTTATGTACCGTTTAACGTAATTTACCATATCGTTAAACCAGAAACGACGCTTAATCAGACTTACTGTCTTATCCACGGCCTGATGTCCTGCTAGAGGAATATCATGTACAGTACGCATTACATCATCCCGTAAATGTTTGGGAACCATCAGACACTTTACGTCTACACCGTTCTCTCTCCTTTTGTAATATAGGACTGAATTACGTAATACATACTGACGATGACACGAGGCGAACTGAGGATCGGCAGGATTATCCATCGCATCCACAATTTTCTTAACAGAAGGATCCAATAGCTGTTCATCACTCAACCACTTGTCGTCCTTCCAAGGATCTTTATTGGCATTTTCATCTTCATCCTGCACTTCGGCAACGTGCGCATAAACCGGCAGCTTATCGGCGATATCCGGTTCAGCCGGGCCAACAGGAAAGCGACTTAAACAGTCCGCATTATGGTGGAATTTCCCCGGGCGGTACTGTACTTCTTTATCCAACGTCGATAATAATAACGCCCAACGCGCAAGTCGTGGATTATTTCCGCTATACTTTTCTATCTCTAGAAGGGCTCGATGATCAGTCTTAACAATGAAATGATTAAATTCCAAATAATGTCGGAATTTCTCGTAAGAAAATATTATCGCTAATAATTCAAGATGCGTCGCCGGGTAATTACGCTCGGCGGCGGTCAATGACCGGTTACAAGTAGCCACAATTTTACCTTCCTGACTCAGGATACCGGCAACACCAATACCACATGCATCACATTCCACAACAATTTCTTTCGTAGAATCAAAACGAGTTAAAACAGGCGCATTACTCAACGATTCTTTTAAATCGTTAAATGCCTGCAGATGCACATCACTCCATTCTTTTTTGAAATTAACATTCTTCCTTACTAAAGGAATTAAAACGTATGTCATGTGACTCATGTTAACACAAAATTTCCTATAAAAATTGGCAAGTCCTAGGAAACTCTGTAACGCAGTAACACTATCAGGAACGGGAAATTTCCTAATCGCATCCAAATACTGTGGATCAGCCTTAATTCCTGACTTATTAATTATATGTCCTAGGAATTTAACCTCGTGTACAGCTAGTACACATTTCTTCGGCTGAATCTTTAAACC